AACCGGCCATGGGCGTGCTAATATTTCGTTTCAGGTAATTATCGGGTAACACTAATGCTAACAGGTAATGGGTGTACATTAGTATATTTTACTGGATACATCATAGGGCAGGAGCCAGTGTATTGTGACAGATCAATCCAGTCTTAGAGCTGAATATACGAAGACGTGCTAGTGCAGTAGAGTAAAATTCGACTTGTGTTTAGTGACTATTGTGCCAGTGGATATAATATTGTTTGGGTAAAATGTCGAGCTTATCAGATTACGTACCTGCTAAACGCGTGAAAAGATGTGCGCTGTCTCAGAATGAGAAGATTATTATATTAAATGTATTTAATGCATTGAAACACCAAAATCCTACCAACAGTGTTGACGACATCGTGGAAAAGTGTTCCAAAATGACAGGGATTGGAAAATCGACTATCTACAGACTTTTAAAGGAAACAAAAAATGAACAAGATACTGTAAATCCCCCAAAATCATCTACAGGGAGGTCAAAAGTCGTTATAGATGATTTCTTCAAAAATGTCATTCGCAGAAAAGTACACTCATTTTATTTTAAAAAAGAAATACCAACGCTAAACAAAATTTTAAGTGAACTTTCAGAGGACAACGATTTGCCAAAAATCAGTAGAAGCAAATTATGGGCCGTCTTACGAGAGTTGAATTTTTGCTGGGAAAAGCAGAACAGGAAGTCAGTTCTTATCGATAAAGATGAAATTATTTGTTGGCGAAGATCCTACTTAAGATCAATTAGAAAATTCCGTGACGAAGGGAGGAATATTTATTATCTAGACGAAACTTGGGTCAACGAGGGATATACTGTAACAAAAGTATGGCAAGATAAAAATGTAAAAAGTTTTCGACAAGCATTTTTGGATGGACTTTCAACAGGGTTCAAGGCACCTTCAGGTAAAGGGCGAAGATTAATAGTGACACATATAGGTAGTGCCAGTGGTTTTGTAGATGGCGGTTTACTTTTATTTGAATCTAAAAATACAGGTGACTATCACGAAGACATGAACGCAGATGTTTTCGAAGAGTATTTTACACAGATGTTGGATCTTATTCCTCCGGGGTCTGTAATTGTCATGGATAATGCCAGTTACCATTCACGGCAGACCGAGCGGACGCCTACGACTGCTTGGAGGAAAGCCGATATAATTCAATGGTTATCCGGAAAAAACATTTCTTTTGAAACAAATATGGTGAAAAAGGAACTTTTGACACTTGTCAATCTTAATAAAGATCAGAAAAAATATGTTATCGATGAAATGGCAACAAATCGCCAAATAACGGTACTACGGTTACCACCTTATCACTGTGAACTTAACCCAATCGAATTAGTCTGGGCGCAGGTAAAAGGAGATGTAGCGCGAAATAATACGACGTTTAAATTAAGTGACGTGAAAATTTTGTTAAAAAATTCCTTGGAACGAGTAACTGCAGATAACTGGCAAAGATGTATACATCATGTACAAAAAGAAGAGGAGAAAATGTGGGAACTCGATAATTTAATTGACGTTACTGTGGAACCTATCGTTATCAATCTAGGAGACGAAGATAATTCATCAGAATATTCAGAGGATGAATTTTAATATACCTACTTTTTTATTTTCTTTATTGTACATTTATACAACACTACATTTACTCACCATAATTTGAATTTTCAAAATACATATATTTTTGTGTGGAATAAAAGTCTATTCATTAAATTTAAATAAATATTTTGATAATAATATTGAATAATTTTATTTGAATTACTAAAAACCCTCTTAACCCGGTTATGATGCTTAAAGTAGCCTCATGTTTTGAAATGCTGTTTTTATATTGTTTACTTATAAGAGAAATGGACCGAGAAATTGAAGCGGCATAGACAAAGACGGATTGTCGGGGATTAAATTTTAGCTACCTGCTACAATTTAGTACAGCCCGATCGCACAAAGTTTTTTTTAAAAGTACACCTCATTATATACGGATAATACATAATATAAAAATATTGAATATAAGCACCAGTACTACATTTATTTACGATTTGCATACATAATGAGCTTTTATTACTCTCTTTCATTTCTAAACAGACTATAATTGATCTAGTCTTCCGGAATTTTTCAATTAATCTCTTCACAGTTGATGACTATTTCGACCATAGTTTTTATTTAAAATATTGCTCAACAATGAAAACGGATTGTTGTTTCGAGTAGCGTTCCATTTTAAATAACCCTGAACTGTCAGCCGTCACGCTCTTTTTTTTTCGTTGGCTACACTGTAGGTACCGCACTAATGGCGCAAAATTCGAGAATTTTAAGACTCCTGATATGTGGTGTTCACTACTCCTATTACGTACATATAGTAGGTATGTAGGCGCAATTCGCTGCTCTGATCGCAACGTGGTGAAGTTACGAAATCTTGTATTAAGCAATCTCAAATCCATACCAGCTAACTTGACATTTCTAGATTAACAACTAATAACATTCATTCTAGAAATGTTGAAGTGTCATTTCTTGTTTTATTTACACTTATCCTTCATGAAGTGTAAGTGGCGTTATGGTGGTAGAGATTGATTTCACATGTTGAAGCTTACATCAGTGTAATTATAATGTTATGATCACGTACTTATTACACAACACGTTTTCTCATTTGAATAAATTATCGACTTATTGTGGTACATTGGTAATACGGCTATTTATTTTAATATGGACGCCTCAATTAACTAAACATGATGAAATATTGTAGAATTATTGTATGACGAAATATTGTTGTCAAGAATGCAACACATATACTTCCAGCTTCCTTACACATACAATGCTGTTAATGATAATACTTTCGGCTAATTTTCTTGAAATTTTGCAGGTTGATAGTTGATAGTGCTCAATATGTAGATCAAAAGTCTCAATGGGCACGAAGTCGTGTACCCCTCCTTCCCCCCAAAAATCCACCCCCAAGGGGCTAGGGGAATATAACTGATTTCTGAATGTGAAACAATTTTTATTTTTGTAGTCCAACCAACGGGTCCCAAACAACCACCCCTGTGATCCTTCAACCATCGACCATCTAACCCTCATGTAGATCAAAAGTATCAATGGCACAAAGTCCCATAACCCCCACTTCACCCCCACCCCTTCACCAAAGCCCACCATACGGTTTGATCTATCGTTCATCAATTATTTGGACTCCAAGATTTTCATCATTTCGATTTGCAGCATCCAATGTGGTGTTTATCAAGGAGTCATCGGGGTATCTAATATTCTGTATATGTCATGTATACTCTAAATATCATAACGCTAGTGAAATTCATATGGTGAAGCCCGTCATGGGTGAGGGTCAAGTTGGGGGGATATAAAACGTGGTAAATGGTCGGTGGTTGAAGGGTCACAGGGGTGGTTTTTTGGGGTAGCCGTTGATTGAACTGCAAGAATAAAAATTGTTTCACATTCAGAAATCAGTTATATCCCACTAGCCCCTTGGGGGTGGATTTATTTTGGGGGGTGGGGGGGAGGGGTTATAGCGATTCGTGCCCATCGAGACTTTTGATCTACATATCAACTATCAACCTGCAAAATTTCAAGAAAATTTGCCGAAAACCATTTTCCATAAGGAAAGTGTATGGTCCTTTCGCAATCCCAGTTTAAAGTCAAATTGTCGGCATTTTTCAAAATTGTAGCAGAAAAATTTAATTTGTACTAAATATGCATGGATTTTACCAATTACAAAAAATATCTTTATTAAGAGTTTCTTAAAGACAGGGAGCTTCATTTTAAAATGCAACAATAAAGGTGATATCTATTTAAAGAATTTATAGACTTTTGAGAATTATTGTAATTATTTTGAGTATGACTATTTTACCGTTGTGTCTTTTCACTGTGCTCCAGTATATAATTTTAAACAGAAAAAAAAAACAGATTTCTCAAAACTCTTACTTTCTTATTGGAATTAATATTCTCTAAAAATTCTTACGATGCCAAATATATTTAAAAAATTTCGCGATAAAAACTGTGAAATATTTAATACTTAAGATCTTCGGACGGATTTGTCTTAGTCCAAAAACTGATAATAAGGGGCTAGCTACATGGTGTCAAAGTTGAAAAAATAAATAACATTTTATTAAATACTTTTTGATTATTTCGAGCTAATTTCTTTTGGGATGAGAAATTCGAATTTATCGACGATTTCGTTGTATTATCTAGAGGGCGCCACAAGCGACCGTTAGGACGCATTTAAACTGCCAAAAAGTTTTGTATGCCACGGTGTATTTCACTTTGAGCTGGAAAAATCTTTTTCCTCAACATTTCTGCTTAAAAAAGGTATACCTTGCTAATATCTCTAAAGCCAACCGATTTCAACAAAAAGGCTTTAAATTTGTAAATGCATACAAAAATTTGTTCAAAAATTATTTTTTAGATTGGTTACATTGTTTAGATTGTGTTAGATTGATAGATTGTTTTTAGGAAGTGTGTTTTTTACACTGTCAATTCTGTTTGCAGTAAAATTGTTAAATAAACGAGAATTAAAATTGTAATTGCACTGTTCCCTTTAAAGGCATATTTCTTGCTAATAAACGATTGCTCCTTTACAGACACCCTGATGTATTACTCCGATATATTTAAAATTCATTTGCTAATAGATAAGTATATATAAACAAACTAAATATTTCATAATATTTAAATAGGTTTATTGAATGTACTCATATTCTCTGTTACCTTTCTGGCGACAGTCACTTACAGTTATTTCTATTACTTTAGAAACCAATGACCATAAACTTGTTTATAACTGCACTAGTGAAAGATTTTAAACAAAAACCAGATATTTTTAATTTACAGAAACCGTAGTTGAACTAATTTAGAGCAGTGCCACAAACAACTTTTGCTTTGTGCTGTAGATTTGATTTGACGAAGGATTTTTTTCCATTAAGTACAGTTATTACGCAATCGTGACGTTGTGCATTATGTCCACTGAGGTATTTGATTTAAAATAATCGAGTTTAGTCCAGTTGTTAACTATACCTTGTCAACAAAGTACGATAGTAGTCGTTTACTGCTAGTTAAAATACAACTTGTAAGAATGTATAAATAAGGACAAAGTTTATTTTTAAGTAAATAAAATTGTGTTTGAGCAGATTCGTGTGACGAAACAGGTAATTTTTTTAAAATTATACAAGGGAAATGTTAGTGATAATCTAAGTTATATAAATTGATATAACTGATGGATTGAAGTTTTCTTTACTTCAGCAAAGTTCTAATGAACACTCGCTAGAAAAAGTAGAGTAGCAGTTATGATATTAATATAGATTTCAGTAGTAGTTTAATGGCTGGATATTTCTTAAGATGCGATTTGAGGAATGTTAATTGATGTGCAAAGTGAAATAGTGGTATGTAAAGTAAATACGAATATTTTACCTTCAAGAAAATTTATATAATAAAAAAAATAATTTTAAAACGTGCGACGTGGTACATACTGCAATTATCCAGTTTTTTTTCTTAATATTCAATGTATTCGAATTTCGCCACTCGCCATGGATATTTTGAGTAATATAATTTCTAAGGGTACTTAGAAACTATTTACAAATTTTTGAAAAATACACAAAAAAGTCATTTGATAAAATCATAGCCTACTGAGAAAAACAATAATTGTAAACGCGATATTCCTTTCAAACTGAGGCGACAAAAGCACGTGGCTGAAAAAATATCCTAATTGTGTCAAATTCTAAACGGCCTCCATAAGAAACAATCAAATTCTTTTCCCTTGAAAATTATTTAACATTTTTGTCATATCATATGCGTAGTAAAAGCATCCTAATGTCATACTTATTAAAGTAACCAGACATAAAATAGCAAATATATTAATGATTTCTGAAATATAACAAAAATTAGCTTTTTGTAAATGTTTTAAAAATAAAAAACTATAAGAATTTGCATTTGGAAATATTATTTAGATATTAGTGAAATACTCATACGTATGTATCGTATTTTTCCATGAGTATTTATTATTTTGTTTAGGTATGGATTAGGCAACTATGATGAATGACATACATTAGAAATAGACTACAATATTTAAATATAAATTTTTATATTTATGCGTTCATTACGTAACAGGGAATTTATAGGTTTTATACATTAATAAACATCCATTGATTACAGTTTTCAAAGTACATACATGTGAAACCATGTAACAAAATAAAATAACGGAACTTGAAAAAATATATTTTGTTTGTTACATAATATAAGAATAATATGAATTATTATTTATTTAAATTCATATTCTATTACTAGTTCTCATATTTACACGTGTACCTATATAAAAGTATTAAACTAATTCAAAAAATTTTCGAAATGAAGTCAATGTTCTTCGGTGTCAAAAGTTCAGGTACGGAAAACATATCTAACCTTATAGACAAGATTCCCAACAAACTGCTCTATGAGCTACATACCCCAAACTCATTGAATTATATTTGTACGATATTATTACACAGGTCCGCAAAAAAAGTGGTTGTGTTAATTCTGAGCAGCTGAGTCATTTCCGAAGAAATTTTTTCCGTAGAATTGCCCCATCACGTCACGCTTCCGAGATATCCTAACCTAAAAGTGCGAAAAACTCTATTTTTTGCTATATTTGACTTTATATTGACATCACGAATATATATATTTTTTTAAAACGAGCCATGTCATCTAAAAGCAGAACTCTTACTCTTCAAAATGCCGTTTTCAAATTTGAAAAACATTTTTTTTTCTCGGATATATCAATAAATGTTTAGTACTTAGTGATTTCATAACAGCAGTATCAAAATTGAAAAATGTTCTTCGGATAGCGAATGATATAAGTTCCTATGTTTTTTGGGTCGCCGAATCCGAATCCAACCTCAAAATTATTCAAGCACTCAAGAGTTCTGAAATTTCCTAACCTAAAAGTGCAAAATTTACGATTTACCTACATCTGAACTGTCGGCATGAACTACTATATGCTGTAACCTGCGACCAAATAATCTACAAGCAAAAATTTGAACTATGTTCAGAACATTATTTATGTGTTTTTCGTGTGTTTCGTGTTAACAACCAAAAAGGAGGCTTATAATGCTAAGAGGAAATCATGATTTATTTCGGTTGTTAGACAAGCTTATCTCTTATCTCTTGAAGAAAAAACAAATTATCTCTAAGTACTGCTATTTGACCAATAATTTAAAACTATGAAATTTCAATGTTACTTATTTGTTCCATTGGCTTCAATTTGGCAATATCGTAATCTGCGACAAAAAGATTCTACAATTCTCAATACATGTTCTATTTTCTTTAGTTTGCTTTTTAAGGTTTGAAAAAAACATGGAAGCAGCTTAATGCACTAATACGAAATGTTTTGTGATATGAAGTTTGTACTAGAACTTAAAAATTCTCTTCATTTTTGGGATGCTTTTGAGTTGAAAATTGTTGCAGACCAAACAATTCACTTCCAACTAGTAGAAAGTTAGGAAATATATGAAAGTCAATCAATTAGTGATTGGAACAAACTTAAACTCGTTTTACATTTACCAATTTGGTGCAACTGTGTACAATAAATGGTACCTGCTTACTTTTCTTTATAAGAGCTTTACTAGTCTGGTTTATTGAACCCCAAAACATTTTAGGTACGAAAACTTTTTTTGTCCACAGCTGTAGGTAGAATAAAAAAATTGTGGTAAATTTCCTTCTTGGTGTATAAGTATTTAAAAAAAGATTTAGTAAAAAGGGCAAATATTATTGTAGTCATGTTCAACGCTTTTAATAGATATTTATATATAATTTGGTTCTATTAATATTTATTAATTATATGCGAAAGAAGGTTATCTGACGAAACAATCTTAAGAAAATGTGGAAACAAAAAACCTTTGTAGTAGCTACTTTTTTTTGTGGTTGATTTCTGGCAAAGGAAATGTTAGAATTATATTAAAAATTAGATTACATTATTTAACAATTTGGGGGATATTTTTTGTATATCTAGATGTTTGGTATCGAATTGTTTGACTTCTTTTGATCAGTTTGATACCTTTCCTTTACAGATTAGTGTTTCTATATTTTTCAATATACATTTTTGTTTAAATTAAATCAGTAAATACACAGCTACTGTTTTTGAACTACTTCTACTACGGTCTTTTATATTTGATCTGATTTTTTTCTAAGCAATTTCTATTTCTGGACTTAACAGCCATTTTCAGTTAAACTCACGGTAAAAGTAAAGTCAATTGACAAATGAGCGATCAGAAATAGTAAAGTAAAATTGTCAGTTATACCACAGACAATATAGCGTATCGCTAGCTATTTTGTCTGTGGTTATACAGAAAGAGATGAAAAATTTACCCCACTTCTATTATTTACATTTCATGTTTAGAGAGACATTTGATTCGACACAGATTAAGATTTTTTAACATTTACCTTCTTTCTGTGCGTTGTAAGGCAAAAATAAACTTGAATTTATTTCGGTACATTAATAAATCTGTTTTTATCGTTTTTCAGGAGGCTTTTCAGATTGCAATATGGATAAGTAATAAAAATAAATTGCCATAGGACAAAATTGACGGTAATTTTAAAAACACAAAGTAAAATGAGATAATCACTATTCCTTGGGACTTTTGCGAGATCAATACAGGGCGTTTCAAATGAAACGCATAAGTATAGTATAAATGGAGGCTAGATAAGACTGGGTAAGGCATCTGTAATATACTTCAAGCTCTCCGTGCTTCTAAAAAATTTTAAATTCGTACTAAAAACAAATTATATTTTTTAAAAACAGACAGCAGATTATTATAATTAGTTAGTATATTTTAATGTGGAGCTAAACTACATTTCATTTACATTTCGATGGAGAAACCTTATTTTTATTTTAAGAAAATTGTAGCGGCTTTATTTTCGATAGGCCCTTATTAAAACTAATTTAATTATTTTTAAAATATTTTTTCTTGTAAAACCTATTGTCAAAAAAAAGTTTTAACATTATTCATATCAAAATTGAGCAATTGTTCTTGAATACAGCAATTATAACCACTCAAAACTTAGTATAGTCTTAACTGCGACTGCGTTAAAAAATAGTCATTGTGATTCAGCCATTAATTTTAACCAACGTATTCGGAAAGCCTAATGAAGACTGAAAATCGAAAAAAAATTACTCGATTTTTTTAAAAATAAGCAGATTATCCGTTAACTCCCGTTGATTCGGCGCTCTATTTCGCCACACATTTCATGACAATCATGACAGTTCGCCGGCGGACTACAGAGCGGTCGAACGTTGAAGAGAAACAGCTGATTTCATCAATCGTGTTGAATTTTGCAATTGGTTTCAAAATCAAAGTGCATCGGATCCCAACTTTATTAACAAAATACTATGGACGAATGAGTGTCCTTTTAGCCGTTCTGGCATTTTAAATGGGTAGGTACTATACGATTCTTTGAAAAATCACTAGGTATATATACTACAAACTGTACTAATTAATTGCTCATAATACTAATAACTCATATTCAATAATAAAACATGGTGAAAACGTTAACAATATTAAAAATACTAAATTGTAATAACCTAACATTATCTCTCGATAAACCTTTGTGATTCAGCGATCAAGAACGGTCCAAAAAAGGGTTTAATTTATTATTTGAAAATATTTTTTTCAGCGTAAATATGCACTTATTTTTTTAAGTAGCGTATTCGTATTCTACTAATTTTTTCCTATATTCCCTCAAAATTAATGACATTATGACTAAATCACCCTGTATATAAGCCTAAAACTTATGAATAATACATTGCCGCATGTTTGTTATTGTCAGTCCCATCCACCAGCAAGCAAATTTATTTTTTTATGTAGTCGCATGTTACGTTGGTTGAACGAAATAATAAATATTTAATATACACGAACTACATAGCGATAATTTCCCCATGTTGGGAAGTGTTAACACGAGCAAAAATTGTTGCGTTTTCATTACTTAATGAATGGGTGGTTCAGGGTGTAGAACCTTATATCGATAGTGCTTTATTATTATTATCTTTGACCTATTTTGTTATATTCATTCTGTACAGGTATGCAAGCATATCCATTCATGAAAGCCGAGGTGAGCAAACATTCAATATTATGTATTTCGTTATTTTTATAGCAGAATCGATAAATAATTTGTAAATCAATCAAATTTTGTTTCGTTAATGCAAATTTAATTGTAGGTACAGGACTGTTACAATTCACAGATGACTCTGATTGTTCACCAATTATAAATTATGCTCTTTATTATTATTATATTCTTATACAGGGTGTCCCGGTACTTGATAAAAAAAGTCGAGTACAAATAAATGATACATTAGATCAGATACATTTTTTCATACGGGTCTTCGTTAACAAGTTACGGGACCTTAAAGGTGAAAATTAAAAAGTTATTTTTATTTAGTCTCTAAACTATTAACTTCAGCATGATATAGATTTGGTGATCGATAACACATGCGTATAGCTTGTTTTTGATGTTGTAAGTGAAACTTCATTATGCACAGATTGTCAGGGACGGACTATGCCCAATGGTTAACAACCCAGAATTTTTGCATAGATGACGATTGCAATCTGCCTGTATAAAAAATAAGTTCCCTGAATAATTTGCTAGCGATAATACCCTCTTGGTTCAACTCGGTAAAATTAACAATATAGATATTTTTGATTTTATGTCACATTGCACATTGAGTGGCGCCTTCACCATTTTTGGTTTTTAATTGGACATAATTACTATGTTAGAACAGTACATATTTTTAAAATAAGAGCCTAAAAAATCTTATAGTCTATTAATGTAATTCTCACTAACAAAATTTGCTTTTGCAAAATAATTTGCAGCCACTTTTAGACGATGTTCCATTAGACACCCGAAGAAACGTTTAGTTCATGCACGATGGAGCTCCCCATTTCAATATTGATGTACGAAATTATTTATCCATTATGTTTAATAATAATAAATTGACTGAGAGAGGAGGCCCAATTTCATATCCACCACGTTCTCCAAACTTTAACCCGCTGGAGTTCTTCCTGTGGGGATAGCTGAAAAGTTTAGTGTAGGCAACCTCAGTACAGACAAGGGATGAATTGCTACAAAGAAGTAATTTCCATTCTGATAATATTAGACATACCCCAGAAATGCTTTTTCGTGTACAAACAAATAACATTCGTAGACTTAGGAAGTGTGAGAGGGGAAAAGTGCCCATATTATATATGTATTTTGATAGTTTCCTTTCTTTTAAATATATTTTTTTAAATTATTCTTGTTTTGTTTTTCTATTCTGTGTTATGTATAGTGTGTTTGTCAAATTTTGTTCGTCCCTGGCGTTCTGAGCATAATGAAGTTTCACTTACAACATCAAAAAAAAAGCTATACACATGTATTATCGATCACCAAATTTGCATCATGCTGAAGTTAATAGTTTAGATGCTGTAAATAAAAATAACTATATAATTTTCACCTTTGAGGGCCCCTAACTTGTTAACGAAGGCCCGTATGGAAAAAATTGATATTATTTTGACTTCATCTATCTGTACTCGACTTTTTTGTATCAAGTACCGGGACACCCTGTATTCTTATTACTTCCTCATTGTTATATTCCTTTTAATGTGTGGAAAATACTTTAATGTTTCTTATTTTTTGTTTTCAAAAGCATGTAATTTAAATGCCCAAAATTTTTAGATAGGCCCAATCATCAGTTTGGAGCCACCCTGTACAGTGCCTTTGATAATCTAGAAAAATACTAAAAAATTGAAATACTATTTCACTACATAGCATTTATACAGTATGGTGGAAATGAGAGGAATAAATTCATTATTTTGTAAATCGGTGACTTTGGACAAAAATTCTAAATCGGCAGTTTTTATTTTTAAAAGTGCTATTTGTTTTAGATATGACGTCATATATGTGAAAGTTTTTTTAATACAAACGTGGGTCATGCGATAGCTGTTTTGTAATTCTCTTTTGCGGCAGCTCTTAATTTTCCTTTGCGATAGCTCATAATTCTCCATTAATATAGCTCTTAATTCTTGCTTCCCTTAAATAGCTCTCAGTTCCCTTAATATATCTCTAATAATTCCTTTAATGTAGCATTTAATTCTTCCTTCCCCTTAATTCTCTTTTCCGATAGCTCTTTTGCAATTCTCTATTCAATCATATCAATAAGTTTAGCTAATAAAATTTTGTATAGTGCCCAAAGAAAAAATTCTAAAATTACAGAACAAAAATGTATTTCAAACAACCCAAATTACAAGAGATTTTCAAATTGATGATCCACAGTAATAATACAGTGACAAAGACCAGCAGTACACTCTTCTCGAACTCACTTCCGGAGTTAAGTATGCCATCTCCGTCTGAGTGCGTTATTTAGATGCATCTAGATTTTGTGGTCTATTTCGTTATATTTTACTTTTTAAGTATTCCCATACAAAGAAATCTAAAGAGGTTAAATCTGAAGACCTAAGTGGTCATTCAATTGATCCTCTTCGCTCTATCCACGTATCTCTAAAGATGCTGTCCCAGTAGGTCCTTACCAATACAGGATAGTATAAGGGTGCGCCATCTTGCTGAAGCCATAAATAAATTATGTTTGAAAACAGCCAATTCAGTTCGGGGAGCAAATCGTTTTGCAGAAATTGTAAATATCAAGGACCTGTTAAGCTTCCTTCAAAAAAGTATGGTGCTATGATCTGTTATCTATTATTCCGGCCGAAACATTCACTTTCTTTTGGTACAGAGTGCGGTACTTCTACATCCATTGTGTATTTGCAGTTGCCCAATACCGACAAGTTCGACGATTTACACGATCAGAAAAAAAGGAGCATAGAAACATCCGATTTCGATTAATATTTCCATTAAAATTTCACAAAATTCCTTCATTCATTTATCAAAATTGTCTTCCAAAAGCTTCTGTATTAAGGTAACTTTGTAAAAACGCCACTTTACCTTTTTTAGGACTTTAAACACTGTTAAATGATCCATATCTAATCTAATTATCTAATGATATTTGCCGTTAACTGGTAAGTATGGGGATTTTCTTGAAATGCCAGTAGAACATCTAGTTTATTATTTTCGAGTATTTGTTTTCTATTACCTTTAGGGAGGCCTTTACAGGATAAGTTTCTTTAAAATTCTTTTCAGTTTTGCTTACTGCGTGGATTGAAAAATTGGTTCTCGGTTGGATTATTTATTATTAAATAAAATATAAAAATCCTTGAGTCATGTTTTGTTCATGTTTTGTCTCCAGAACCAATTATTATTAAAATTTCAATTCTTTCGGTTTCAATAAGCTTCATGTTGATAAAAACACATTTTCAAATATTTTTAGTATTTCAGCATTAAATACCTGGAAACGTGAATTAAGTCAGTTTGGTGTAGTTGTTGATAATACATGTACCTACATTATTTGGAAAGGCAGAAAATCTAGTAAGAAATTTATAATTTTTCTTTCCCTGTAGCGGTCTTTATCTCATTTACGTTTGGGTGGGTAAAAATTTATTAGATTTCCTACTGGGAAACTTAAAACGCCATGTAGGAACAATGGTTTACGGCTGATTCGAGATATTCCAAAAACGTAGTAGGCATTCATATTAATTGTTTGAGATAAATTTATTCAAATATTCAGAAAGTAGGTATAACCTAAACATTAATGCTTCTTGTTATTTATCGAACGAGAAGGAGATGGATATATGATTTGATGGATACGTGTTTTCCATGAATTAAAAAACTCCCCAATACCTTAAACGTCAATGCTTCTCTTACTTAAAATTTTAGTAAGTACTTACACAGTTTGCATTGAGATCAATATGAAAGACTAAAAATTCAGAAGTGAAAATTAATAAAAGAAAAGAAAATGTATGTATTTAACTTTATAGGAGAAACTTAATTACAACGCATTATTTTGTTAATTTTTACATTTTAAGAAATACATTTCTTGTATTAACATCTGTAACATTACATTCATGATTGTAGGAGAATTGAAGCATTCAAAATAAATAGCTACGACAGAATCATCAGTAGTCAATTTAATTGTAAGTTTGTAACAAGGTATCACTTTTTTTGTAATCACTTCTCTGAGCAAATATAAAATGATCAGCTTGTAACTTGGACAAATTTGATCTTTGGCTTAAAATGCTACAAACATTGGGTGATACGGTGATGGATACTAAAAACTAAAACAAAATTCTACTCCACAACACATTTAGAACACTTGTACGACATTTGCTTAACGATAATTTATTTCATTTTAATTTCGAGTTACTCCCTTAAATGAAATATTACAGACACTAATTAAATTTGACCAAAACATTTATGCTTTCGCAGATTGAAATTTTATATGAAGGTCTAAACTAACCTTGCTCTACTCGTTTTAATGTCAAAGTGTATGACACACTTTTATTATTTATCTTTGCAAAGATACTATGGATACATACTAACCACTTTCCTATAGTTCTATAGTGTATGAAATGTATTATTACTGTATTTTGTGCACTTAGATTTAGTTGAAATATTTTTTTTATGTGGAGGTAGTAATTTTTAATACAGGAAATATTAAGAAAATCCAGGTACTTTTTTTGGGTGTTACCAGGAGAAACATTTTGGGAAGAAGATTAATCTTTTTTTTTACAGAATCCATATGTGACCTATTTGACGAAACCGTGAATTATTTTCAATCAAATTGGAAATATTTCGAAAAAGTTTAATTAATTAAAATTAATTAATTGTTGTTGGTTTAAGATAAATTTATTCAAACGTTCAAAAAGTAATCAAAGAAAGGTTAAACATTAATTGTAAACAATATAAAACCATAAAAAGGAAATCATATGTCTTTAACATTATTAGAGAAAATTAATTATCAAAATTAATAAAACAGGAGAACATACTTTTGATAATTGCATTTTTTATGATAAACATTTCTCGTATCGTGTCGTCTGTAACAATCATAGAAATGATTTCTATGATTGTAGGTGAATTCAAAATAAGTACCTACCACAGAATCACTAAGTGGTTAATTTTTTGTACATTTAAATTTGTAACCATGTATCAACTTCTCACTGTAATTACTTCTCTGGGCAAATATAACATCATTAGCTGCTGTAACTTGGAAATATTTGACCCTTGGCTTCTAATGTTAATTATTCAAAAAGTACCTAAGTATAACCTAAACATGAACAATTCTGTTCAATTTTTTTTTATCTACACATTGAGCTGAGAGCAATATGAAACCTTAAACATGCAGATGTCAAAATTTATATATGTTAAACATTTCTTTAACACTATAAAAGTTACTAACTGTTAGTTTTACATTTCGACATACATTTTTTGTACTAAAGTCTGTAACATTACACCTTGAATGATTTCTATGGTTGATGATGAATTGTAGGATCCAAAATACCTAAGTACCTACCACATTCGTTATGTAGACAATTCTTAAAAATTTAAATGTTTAGTCATGTAGCCATGTATTATACTTTTTTTGTAATTACTTCTCTTGGCATATATAACGTAGTCAGCTGCTATAACTTGGACAAATTTGACTTTTCATTTAAAATTGTGAAGAATACTGAAAACTGAAACAAAATATAACTACGTAACACTTGCTTAACGAATTTTTTTTAATTAAACACAATCTTTACGTTTAATTTCTGGTTAAATCCCTTAAATGAAATATTACATACTCATTAAAATTGATCAAAACATTAATGTTCCCTTAAATCCAAATCATTATTTGAAGGTATAAGGTAATTTTGCTCTGCTCGTCTTAATGTCATAGTGACCTATTTTTTAAATTCTTTTATGCAATTGAAATCGATAAATAAACATTAAGTATATGAACATTTAAACTGAAAATAATTAGTTTACTGGTCTCTACTGTTCAATGGTTTTATAAAATCTTATCCAAGAGACATTTTATTAAAATTTTTTTCAAGTAATATTGATCTTTGCAAAGATACTATGGATACATACCAACCACCTTTCTGTAGCTCTGTAATTTATGAAATGTAGGTTTATTTTCTTGAAAAGTACTATGTGCAGTCTTAGATTTAGTTATTATAAAATTTTGTATGAGGAAGTCGTAATTTCTTAATAGAGAAAAGAAATTAAGAAAATTTAGGTACTTCTTTGGATATGTCTCTAGGAGAACCGTTTTGGGAAGCAGACTGTGTCTTTTTGTTTATAGAATCCGTGTGTGTGACCTATTTGGAAGAGAGCGGCGGTAGCTGGAGGGATGGCAGCCAGCAGCCGTAGCAAGAAGGAGGGTCTGGGATGGGAGAAGAGGCAGCGGGCTGCTTGGCTCACCTTCGCAGATGAAGCCCTGCTGGATGAGGCCCCATAACATGTCGCTGCAGTGGTGGCAGTACGTGGGCTTGTGGAAGGTTTTCTTGCAGAAGCTGTGCCCGTGCGCGGCGGGCGGCTGTTCGGTCGAGCCCGCCACCGACGCCATTTCTCCGAGCCACCGTTCACGCCAGATTTTCACCGTGAACTCGCACTAGGCACAGGCATATTACAGGTCTATGTGATCTCGAAACCGTACGCGTACATTTTGCGGCCTTTCGGTATCTCTGAGAGCCAGAGTTACATGCCTAAGGCGCATTTCTCGACGTCGTCTCCCGTACACAGCTGACCATCACTGACGAACAACGAGTGCGCATCCGCGAGACGTCTGGACGCGTCGACTACTACCGCCACTGGGAGGCCGCTGCGTCTCGACGCGGCGCCGCTCTCCCCGGCCCGCCCATCACTGCTTTGGCGGCGGTCGCGGCATCTGATGGACGCGTTTCGCAGCGAGGCTCGCGCTGAAACTGAAATCTGCACGCTGAAAAGACTGAAAGCGTTCGACGAGCGGGGACGGACTTATCGACTTGAATTTCCGTTAAGACGCGGAAGCCTCGAAATATTTTCAATGCAAATTATTTGTGTGTCTAACCCAATATGCCCCACGGATCGAATTGAACTGAACTGAAATTCTCAATAAGCCTCACATAAATAAAATTTGTGCCAATAATTTTTTCGATAACATACTGTTTGGAGAGGTAAAAAGAAAATAAACACATAATTGTTTCATTTAATCATAAAGATACCTCAAATTTTAATTTTATACCATAAATTTGGTTTTCAAAATCAAAATTTATTAATGCACGTTTCCACCAATTCTTTTTGAGATTTCTTAACGCTGGAGAAACAATGATTTACGCTGGTGGAAATCAAAAGGGTTAGTCCCTTTTGATTTCCACCAAACCTTTATTCTTCTTGACTGTCTATGCCTAAGGAGTCAAAATTTCAAAATTTTTAGGAATCCATAATCCTTATATCTAAAATTTGAGTTGCTGTGAGCGTCTTTCATTTCCTACAAATTTCAATTGATGGAAATCATTTCAGGATCTTATTCGTTCCCAATGGAAAGTTGGTGGAAATGGTTATAAGTCACATAAATCGGATATCTTAAATTTTATTTTTATAGAAAACCAAACATGAATAGTGCAATTTTCCAGTGTGATATTTCTTTCTATTTAACTAACAAATTGTTTTTTAGGTTTCACTATGTGTCATTTTCGTAGACCCAATGGTATGATTTCATTAATACAATGTGTTTTTCCAATCTATGACAATATCAGAACGTTTCTTGGATCATTTTAGGCCAAAAATCTTAATAAACCATGACAAAAGCCATTAATCTCTGAAATTCAGAGAGATAAAAATAAAGAATATCACATTTTTTCAAATATGTCTGAAGATGTTTTACATAGATTGATGAAACTTTGGTTAGTTGTTTAACTAATGAAAAGCAAAAACTTTTTGAACAGTTATACAAATATGTTTACCAGTGACGAAGATACCGGGAAGCACTGTCAATGGAAATTGGATTAGTTTTGGTTCGTAACTGTTCTAAGCAGTGTTAAATAAACTGTAATAACCGCCATCTAAAAAATCATATGTGCAAATTTTTAATTATCTGAAGAATTATGGGGACCACAACTTTCCAAGAAATTTAAACGTTTATGTAAATCAGTTTTTTGCACTTCGTTCTGAACAAAAAATTATTACACATTTTTATTGTATATCGAATAGTTTTAGCAGATATTTTTTTATTCAACTGCATGATAACTTTATTTTAAACTTAGAAACGTAGGTAACTCAAAAACGACTCATTCTTTAAATAATATGGAAGATATCCTCTATGCTTGAAATTCACTTTGGAATCAAATGCTCCCAAACGAAAATAATTCCAAAAAACTTAGAGGTGTACAAATTCTAAGGTTGTCAATGACAGTGTACCTGGTATCCCTATCACTGGTTGACATCTTAGGATATTCACTCCGTGATTTTTATTAGTCTTTAATTAAATCCTTAATTAGGCCTTTAGTTAGTTACATCACCAAACTAACTTTCATCAACATGTGTAATAAGAGGTCTGTTCAGAAAATAACCGAACTTTATTTTTGTAAACTTTGTTATTAATTTTTTACAAATATATTAATGGTCCTTGTCTCCTTCAAAGTACTATCCTCCCCTCTATTCACACTTTTCCCAGCGATGTTTCCATTTCACGAAGCAGTTTTGAATAGCTTAATTTGAAATGGGTTTTAAAGTCTGTAACGAACTTATTTTGATGTCATTAATAGTCTGAAAACGGCGTCCTTTCAGCACTGATTTTAATTTCGGAAATAAGAAAAAATCGCAAGGAGCAGGTCTAGCGAGTAAGGAGGGTTAGGGAGGAAAATAATCTGATGTTTGGTACAAAACTGATGAATTCACAAAGTTGAGTGTGTGGGCGCATTGTCATGGTGCAAGAACCATGAGTTGTTTCATCACAACTCCTTTTTCCGGATTATATTCACTAACCTTTGTAAAACGCTTTGACAGTACCGTGTGGTTCATTGTCTCATCACCTTAGGTAAGAATTCAAAATACACAATTCCAGTCGAAAAAAAAAAAAACAGTGACCATCACTTTGACAATGAATCGAGACTGACTTGCTTTCTTGGGGCGGGAGATCCTTTGCAAATCCATTGTGAACTTTTGTCTCAATGTCGTAGCCGTAAATCCAGCTTTCGTCGACCGTTATGATCCTTCGTATGAATGTTTCATCGCAAAATTTTACGTTGCATTCAGAAATTTTGTTTTGTCAGTGCATGTTCAATTTTTCAGTGAAAATTTCAAGGCATTACCCAATTGAGATGCTAACCTCTTATGCAATTTCCCTGACAGTCAATTGGCGATTTCCACGCACCAGACTTTTGACTTTCTGAACGTGGAAGTCATCAGTTGAAGTCGAAGGCTTTCCTGATCGAGGATCATCTTCAATCACTTTTCATGTTTCAGTTTAAGTTTTCCCCAGTTTGATGCAAAATTTTACGTTACATCGTTGTACCAGAAAATCGCACGTTTCAAAAATCGTCACTAACACTTAAGGCATGCGCATACATACGCGGCAGCGATGGCGGTGGCGTTATTCGAATTTAAATATACCGCTCGTACCACGACATGTATGTTTTGACCCATTTGTTTCTATGCGTTACATTCAAACGCCACCGGGCACCGCCACCGCTTACCTTACCGCGTATGTTTGTGCAGGCCTTTAAACACGTTGCACTCAAATAAGAATATCATGAAAATTAAATCAGACATCAACAATCGAAGAACATGTAGTGATACAGGATATGCGCAACGCAATGCTGCCAGCCTCATGTCACTAAATATCTCCATTGGCGCGTAATTCAAAAAGTTCGGTTATTTTCTGAACAGACCTCGTATATTTCAGAATATTTCAAAAATGTGATAATTTTTTTTTATTTCAATATTCTGTATTTCATTTCATAAGCCTTTTGGCTTAAAATGGTCCTAGGAATACGGCCCTGAACTTCAGACATAGATTTAAAAACCATTTGGTCCTAGGAATACGGGCCTGAACTTCAGACATAGATTTAAAAACCATTTTGTATAAATACATACTATGAAAAACTTTAATGAACTTCATAATAAATTAGGAAGAACAGGTATGTTATTTTGTATAAATACTTTTAGTACAAAGTAAAAGATATCCTGAAATATCCATTCATAAATTTTCCAAACTAGTGGCTATTGGATATAAGACAAAATACACATTTAAATTGGATCATGAAACAGTTGACCTAAAAGTATCTAATCTTTGGTATTTACACCTTTTTAATTTCAAATAATATTTTTGGCAATTACAAAAAATCGTGTCTCATTCAATATGGATGATAACCAAAAAATCAGCAGTTATAAAAAAAATTGCTACTGGACCTGTTTTTAAAAATAAAAATGTTATTGAATCAAGGTATCCAAAAGCAGTTTCCAAAAGCAAGCTCCAAACAACTTAATAATTTTTTCAATTCTATGGGAAATATGAGAAATATGGCCTTAATAGTGTTACAATCGGCATACTCAGTACACACATACATAGGGTGTCTCAATCGTGATACATTAGCATTGTCTCGTAAAATTTTACAACACAATGATTTTGAATACATTTTCAAACGCATCTTTTGAGATTTTCGAAATATATGAGCTAATGAGTAAAGAGAAACAAAAATGATTATTTGTCTCTGATAAGATTATTTCACATAAAGAAAAATCTAATGCAGTTGCCATATAGGGTGTTTTTTTTTTCCAAAAATTGCTTTTTTATACTTTGTGTTAGGAAAAAAGCATAAGAGTAAAAGAAGTATGAAGCTTTCATATTTTTTTTATACTTGATCAAAATATCATATTGTTGAGATCTTTTTAAATATATACCTGGTGTCTCAAATTCACGCAAAATTTGAGTCTTGCGCAATTTGTGCGTTTTCATTGTTCAGCAATATTTTAAAAATTAAGGTTTGGCAGCTACAGTTTGCAATTTTCGTACAAAATATGGTCAGAATACTGATTTAACTTCATCATCTGTGAAGAGATTAATTGAAAAATTCAGGGGGTCTGAATCAATTAATGATCTTAAACACTCTGGCCATCCTTCAACACAAAACATCGAAGCAGTTCGCGAGAGTGTCGCCGAGAGTCTAGGAACATCAATTTGGCACTGTGGTCAAGAATTGGACATTTCGAGAAGCTCTCTACAGCATATTCTCATGAAAAATTTACATCTTCATGCTGACAAAGTTCAATTGATTCGAGAACTGAAGCCTACTGACACGCACAGAGAAGAGAGTTCGTTGAATGGATTGTGGAATAAGTGTACGCTGATTTATCGGACAAAATCATCTTCAGCAGAGGCCCATTTTCATTTTGATGGCTTCATTATTAATCCACCCAATTATCACATTTGGAGTTCAAAAAATCCAAGAGTGATTGTTGAGTAAGTGCATCCATAACTTGATTTTTGAAAATGCAACTGGTTAGCACGACATGATACAGTCTTTTACACGCCTAAATTGCAAGATATGGATTGTAGACATGTGGTTTTAACAAGATGGTGCCACATGCTATACAACCCGAGAAATACTTCCATTAATTACTGTACGAGTCATTTTCTGATCGTGTAATTTCCCGTTTTGTGATCAGAATTGACCGCCCAGATAATACGGTTAAACACTGTTGGACTTTTTGAAGGTTTATGCCAATAAGGCCACAGTCATCCACTCTTTGAAGGAGGAAATTGAGCATTGTCAACGAAATTTAGCCGCATTTATGGAAGACGGTCATGAAAAATTAAGAGTGCGTATGTTGTGGCTATTTAGCAGATATGCTATTCCATATATAGCACTATACTTTTTACTTTATGAATCAATAAAAAAATTACAATTTTTAATTAAATCTGTTTTCTATACAAATTACTTTTGTGTGAATTTTGGGACACTTTATTTGGCTAAAGAATGTGATATTTTTTGCAGACTTACAACTTCATTTACAAAGGGTGGCACCAAACAGAAACAAAAAAAAAAAACGAACATGTATGAGTATATTACTATAATTTATTAATATAGTCCTTGTGTAAATAAGATCAAATATATAAAGAAATGAGAAAGAACACTATACTATGTGCCCCTAATATATAAAAATACTTCATATTCACTAAGGAATGTAGTTTTAAGTACAAAACAATCACAAAAATATATTAATACAGTAAACGGTAAAACATTCAATTTCTTGAAGCCTAACAAACGTTGAGCAAACCATTTTAGTACCTAAATTTTGACAAACAAGCAAACAGCAATATATTGGTTGTTAGACACTCCATCCATTCTATAATAATTCAGCAGCATACTCCAAACTAATAAATTAAATGACAAAGTGTTAGCACATCACAATCTAATTGTTAATTAACACCAATTATTATGATATACATACTGCACTTTAAAGTATTATTGTTGCTTCAGTAATTATTTATTTACTATTCCTTCATCAAACCGGATCAAATAATCCTTTATGAACAAATAGAAAGAGATTGATTAAGATTTACCGCAAGTGTAAAGAAACAGATAACGATAAGATAAGTATTAAAAATGTTGCCAATAAACCCCCATTCATTTATTAATAGGTTCAAACTTTTACCGAAATCGAAAAAAAAAACAAATATTTTTAGCAACAGCTCAGAAATGAACAATCGAACATATAACTTTATGCAGTAAGAGTAATTTGAATTTTATTCCTGCTTCCTAATTCTTAGATATTTGTAGGAAAAATATGACCTCTTTATATTATTATAGAGATATTTTTTACTTTACTTTATTAAAAAGGCATGAGAGATCTACAAGTAAAATAAACTGTTGCAAAATAAAATCTTTCAAAATATTGTTCTTTAAACTTATAGAATAGGAATATAAAAAAGCAAATTGTATTTAAACATTCAATAGAATAAATGATCCCAAAAAATCCAACACATACAAATCTGAAGAACATGTAGGCCATGTGTTTATCTATTTGGATATTGTTTTTCAGCCAATGAAATTGAATACTTACAATTCATTTTTATACAGCAAAAATTAAAAAAAAATCACAATATCGTTAACATCTTTGTTAGTTCGTAGTTTCTAGTTAGTTTAATAATTCTATTGCATAACCAAAAACTGACCCTATAACTTTGAAACTGTTAATAATTGACAGAAGTTTGTAAAGCAAGCAACATTTTTGATGCCCTATCCCCAAATCACCTGCTGTGAACTACTCTGTATAACAGAAGTGTTATACATACATAATTATCAAGATATAGATATTCATTTTCATATTATTTATCAACTGTTTCAGTATGTTGTTTAACTATTCTGCAATAAAAGTTGTACGTCATCATTTGGTTCCATAATACTTGAATATAAGAAGTGGGACTGACTTCCCCGGGAAACTACTTCAGATATGTTTAATTTTATTTTATTGTAAATAAATACACCCTTTGTAAATTATTAACATATCTACCTTTAAGCCAGTTTGTCTTAATATTTCGTTTTTGTCACGATTATGTGAATATAAAAAATATACTGAAGCGGTGTGCTGCTTTCAACGAGAAAAATCTAATAAAAATTTAATACTAGTTATTATAATTTTCAACTGTACTTCAGTATAAATATTTTGTCCATACAAGCTGATATTATCGACTTAATATAGTGACTAATTCAAATTCAGAAACTTGTAATACATCTTCATTGTATCTAAGACTTAAACTATTGCTTGCAAATTGCACATACATAAACAAAAAATAATAAAGAAGCTTAATATTAATGAGAAAGTGAGTTACTTTATCCAAGTCCATGATCATCAAAAAATCCTTGTGGAGTTTCTTCCTAAAACAAAAAGACAATCTTTACTTATACTGTTGCCTACATCAATATGAATGTGGATAAATTGAAAAAATAAAGAAAATCAATCACATACCTAATTTTTGTATCCAAAGATCCATTCTTATCACTTCATTATCCACTTTCATATTGATGGAATTTTGGTATTAGTGGGAAAAAAACTACCATTCACCACAAAATACAAACCAAACATCTATACTTCATTTTAGTGGTTAATATTACAACCCAGTTTTAGTCGTCATAGGACATGTCACAAAAATAAAGTACAGCAGTTTAAGGGATGATCACAAGGTGTTAATAAAAAAAGTGGAAAACTACAAACACTGTATTAAACGTGTATTATCTACAGGTAAGAAAAGAAACATTAGTACGTATATCTACTTAAAGCGAAACTTTAGGTATAAAAATACTACTAATAAACATTTTCATTTTACGATTGTTTAAAAATTGTACTGTGCAAAAGTTACTCACTATATAATGGTGCTTAACATGATAATATGTTTAAAATGTGTTTGGAAATTACCAAATCCCAAGAATTATATATGTATGTATAAGAAATTCCTATTTAATAATTACTGGCAAGCACTGGTTTTAGATATTTTTATTCTTAATTAAAGATTTTATATCTACATATCTAATTTGGCAATTTCAGTCGACACATTCAGAGTGACCATAAATGATTTGTTTAAAATTATTACACTTAACTTTTCAGAAAACTATAAATATAATTAAAAATAGCATTTCTAGGTGTGGAAAAATCTTTTATGCAAAATAATTTTGTATTCCTACTAGAGCACATGCTTTAACTGATGTAAATTGGTAAAAATTGAACTGGTTTTATATACTTATTAATAATGAAGCATGAGACATACTGTTCTTTAGAGGATGATTTCTAAGTCCATAGAGAAATTTGGAAAATAAAAACTTCAAATAGGGTTTGCCTACCCTAAGACCTCGAAATACGTTGCACATATATTTGTAACTTTTTTTTTCATAATTAACTAATAGATATACACATCTATTATTTCTCACAAAATTTATATTTTTCTTAAGGTTAAATTAGAAAAACAAATTTTATTACACATTAAAATGTAACTATTAGGAAGAAAATTTAATTTATAAAAATCTCAGAAACATAACTAATAAAATCAATGTATACTAATTAATTTCTAAGTTCATCAAAATATAAAATAAACTTCGTATTCTTTTTGTATTTTTTTTATTGTAACTTGTAGGAATTATTTGAACACATGATAAGTGATATGATGGGTATATTTTTGGACAATAATTTAGAGATAGAAAACATTAATTAATCAATTGTAAAAAAGTGAAATAGTTAAAATTTGTCACATGTAACATATTGTCCATTTAATCTAGAAATAAATTACACTTACTTTTTCTGGATTCAAATACAGTCTCCAAAAAAAAAAAAAAAACTGAAGGAATTATGACATTATTGAAATGAGGTCAGATTTGAAATGAACCATTAAAGTCAATATAAAATATTGTACAATAATATTGACCATCTAGGTATTATATTGAATGATTGCGCAATATATTGAATAAATCAAAAATAGTTTCATATTTATTGTGCAATGTGGAATATATTGTATCGTCTGTGGATAATATTGCCCAATATCTGTTCAGTTGTGTATCGAATGTAGCGAGTATCACTCAACATGTTCGTTTAGGAAGTACCAGAAGTGAACTAAATTATTGCACAATAATATTAAGAGATGTCCCCAGATTGTGCACTATTATTGTGCAATAATTCAATTTGCCTCTGGTACTTCTTAAGCGAACATGTTCAGCGACACTGCACTACATTCAATATACAACTGAACAGATATTGCGCAATATTATCCACAGACGATACAATATATTGCGCAATCTTTCAATATAATACCTGCACGGTCAGTATTATTGTACAATATGAAACATGGTTATAATATTGACTGTCTAGGGGGGCCTTTATAAATGACAAAACATCAATAATTTACTAACAGAAGAATGTGTGTAGGACCCATAGCTTGATTTTTTAGATTGTCATTTTAAAAACCAATTGATTTTTGCCTCTATGGCTACTTTAAAAATTAGTTTATTTCATTTCACCTGACACTGAAGTTGATGTTATAGTTAGGACCACGACATTGGTTCTGTTAAAATTAATATGATAAGTACAAGACAATAATTATTACAAAATAAAACCGTTAATAAGCTTATTTACTGTAATTTTGTCAATTATTGACTTTTAATTTCATTCCTAATTATGACTACATGGTAATGTTTACAGTTTAGCCAATTTTGTTAGATTGTCCTTGCTAAATAGCGTTAAAAAATTATTAGCTCTTGTTTTATATCACCATAAAATTAGTTACTGTTTACGCCAATACTAATTATCAGACAGTTAAGACATGGTCAGGAATACAAAACTACTATTGGCTTATTATTATAGGCATTTTCCGCTCCTTCAAATGCAACGATAAATTCAATATTCAAGCAATATCAATCACTCAGTAGATCTGTCTGAGCAGCAGTCTGGAATGACTCCAAATAGTCTAATCTAATCCACTGCTATGTAAAAGTACTTTCATTTTAAAAATGACTGCTTTCGATTAAAGTGTATTGCAGCCAATATAATCATTAAAGTCACTCTATACAAAAAATTGTATACCAATAAAAATTAAATTCTTAAAAAAAGAAAAACAATGAATACAATAAATTCAATTCCAAACATGGAAAAATATTATATAGGAAGTTCTAGAAAAATAACATTTTATATACTATATATATATAAAAAAAAGTTGGTCCAAAAATTTTAAAATAGGATTTGATCCATTGAAAAATGTCTGGGAAGAGGCATGTCGTTACAGCAACCCAATATCCCTTAAAGCACCTTCCACCGCTTCATCCTTGAGGAAAGAATTATAAGAAACTACTGTCTAATAAAATACAGCTACTACAAAATGTTCCTTCACATAAAAACCTCCTTATTATTAAATACTTCTAACCTTGAACCTCGAAACCTAACCTTGACTACATCTTCATTCGTAAATAATTTTTATATGTGGTGGCAATTCAACTCTAAAGAAATTAGATAGCAATGTATGTTTTTTAAATAAATATTTTGTTTGGTAAATAAAATGGAAATTTCATTTATTTATTCCTAATATTACCTACCCTTTTTACAGAAAACATAATATGGTATTGAAAATTAGATAATTAAGTATTTAAAAAAAGTATATTCACTTCACTAAACATCCACTGTCACATTTTATATTGAAATACAAAAGAATTTATTCCTTGCTTTTTATGGTAAGAACACAGTAAACATTTTTATTTAACAAGCTCGATATAAGCTTTGTACTAAAGTTAATTATTATCAAATTAAAAATGAGTCCTAATTCCCCTATTGATTTTCTCACAAATGGCTTTTGATAAATAATAATTTTCTAACTTATAAGTTTATTCCTCAGCAATAACACCAAAATAGAAGTTTTTACTGAAAATACAGTTTTCAGCATATCCTGTACATCAATATATATATAAACAAAGGAACACAAACATGCCTTATTCCAAAGTTATTACTTTAGCACTTACAAGGTGTTTAAGTTTTTAATGACATTACAAAAAGCTCAAGAGCTGTCCGGCTTAGATTAATGAAGCTTGAGCTGGGGGCAAAATTAAATAAAAATAAAAGTTCACTTTGTATAAGTACAATTATATTAACCTGCAACATAGATACTGGGAGACACCGTCACTAAAAATTCCAGAATTTCAACACCACTGAATATGTTGGAAATTCTATAAGTTCATTTCTTGCACAATTGCATAGTAAATGGATTTAGAACTTTTTTTTATCCTAAAATACTCTTACTACTTACAATTGAATAAATTAAAAATTATTCCAAAATGGTTCAATTCACAAAAAAATGTAGCATATTTATTACAAATTCAGTGTTAATTATAATGTAATCATTAAAATTCTGGTAAATACAGATATATTTGTCCCTTGAACAATTCCTGAGAAAACTTAAAATTTTTTTAATTCTCAATTATATAATTATATTTAAAATCGCATTTGAGTTATTTTCTGTTTATTCAACTTTGTATTTAAACTCATTTTAGACTAAAAAAAATAGTCGAAATTTACTCATTTTACAAATAAAAGACAAGATATAATTTTTCTTTGAAATATAATTGTAAATCAAATGAACTTCTCTCAGTGGCATTAAAATTCTGGAAATCTTAATGAAGGTGTCTCTTGGTCGATATACCTAATTGTATACAAATTCAATGGTCAATCCGTGTTATATTAATCTGTCAAATATTTTTAAGAATAATTATTTGCGTATGTATGTTTCTGAAATATTTAAACACCTTGCAACTTTAAATGAAGTAATTTTACACCAAGGTATATTTAGCCCAATTATCATATTTTGGTTTCAAAATTATCTGGTAGCATTTGTAGATGCTGTATAGTGCAATAGAGAACAAGCCTTTTCCCCAAAATTTCAAACACCCTATAGTGATTTAACGAAAATAAGAAATGTCTACTTGTATCAACCTGTTTTTTCAGAATAATTTGATTTTTGATTCATATTATTTCTGTTATTAATTGAGATACAGTTAAAGTGCACCAATTTATTGCAAAAATTTAAAAACCTAGGATATAATAGTGATAGCAATAAAAAAATTGGTATGAACTGAACCATGTTTGGAGAAATATGGAGTGTTGATGATCAAGAAAGGATTAATATCTAGTTGCAAGTGCGAATTATTGATGCGAAACCATTGTAGAGATATCAATTGATTTATTTTTTTCTTACTTTCTGTTAATGATTTTGTTCTTACTGTCAGATTTTTTTAAATTTTTTACAGTAAACTGGTAACTTTAATTTAAATGTAGATCTCGATTATTAACAGAGAAAAAGATATGAACAAAAAAGAAAAAGACATGAATAAAAAAACTACTCGGATAATTTTGGGAAAAAAAAAATATTTTTTCTTGCATAGAGCATATACCTACAGGGTGAATTTTTGTAGTGAAACAGTCGATGGAAAATCTCATCCTAAGAAAAAAAAACTTATAAGCATAGGTTGCAGAGCTGATCGTTTTCGAGACATAGATTTGTAATAAATAGTTCACATATATTCAAAAAATTTTTAAGATGTTTGATGTCGATTTGTGAAACTTGGATTAATGAATTATCTAATTATGGGCAAAGTTTACTGATTGGGAATTGGAATTGAACCCTAGAATTTCTACACCACTGAATATTTTGGAAATTAAATAAGTGTGTTTTACAGTTCATACGATATTTTAGAATTCCGAGAAGACTCCTGCTTCAGTCTCTTAGAATTAACTGCATTCAACACGCGAGGTAGAAAGACATTGGTGGAAAATTTCAAGGCATGTCCCTGCTGCGGTAAATTACAGTAGTTCCGAAAACAGAACTTTATTGGCTTATTATTTTCTTAGAATTCTATCTCAACAATTACGAACTGTAATTCTGAATGGAATTTCTAATAAAATAGATGTCTTCTAATGTATTTTATTTGGATAACCAAGACATAGCTGAACAAATCAATACTATTCATTCCACAAAAAAAAATAAGTAAATACAATGTAATTATAATCTGTAGTAACATTCTACTAAATTTAATGTTATTCCAACAAGTTTTTTTTATTTTTGATGGTTATACTCATATTACATTTAAAATTGTATTGCCAAAAACACATTTTTATACTTTTTTTTCTGAAATTAAAAGTTCTAGTTATTTTCGATTTAATCAATTATACAATAGGCTTATTTTAAATAATAATAAATCTATAAATAAAACAAAAAGATTGTAAGTCAGAATGGTGATTCACGAGAAAATCAATTTTAGTGTTAGGACTCATTTTTAATGATGCGTTAAATTTGATGTGAAGTGTATCTTCAGAAACAGACTTTGGTGCTATATTTTCAATTCATAATCTTCCACTATTTAAGAATTACTGCGAAGTCAAATAATTTTAAGTGATCAGTATACAGGGTGTTACGAAATTCGCGGACACGGACTCTGGAATCATGTTAAACTAGATAAGGTCATAACAAAATGTCTCTATCATTTTTCAATCAGACCGATATTTTTCGAGATACGGCAGTTTTAAATATCCAAAAATAATAAAAATTTTTAATTTTTAATCATTTGCTAAAAAAATAATGATAAACGAATTGTTCAAAATTTCCACCACCTGCTGCTAAACATGCTTCAGCACATTGTGCTACAGCTCGAACGGAGTTGCGCACCTACCATCTCTGGCGTTATTTGTTGTATTGTTTGAAACAGACAGCTCTATAACAATTAATGAAAATTCAGAAAGCATTTATCAATATTTTGATATCGTTAGAGTATAGTAAAAGTACCTGTCAATACAAACTGCAAAATAATAGGCCATAATTATTCAAATCATGAATAGTCTGATATGCTGATGTCTCTCGGAGCTTCAAATAATCGTGCAGATGAAGCAGTTCCCATTTGCTTGGCCACCTCGTTCTCTAGATACAATGCCATGTGATTTTTTATTTTGGGGGTTCTTAAAAACGTTGGTGTACAGAACACCAGAGGCAAATTTTAATGAATTGCAGAACCGCCTATTTCAATCAATACAGCAAATAACACCAGAGGTGATACGCAACTCCATTAGAGCAGTAGCACAATGTGGTTAAGTATGTTTAACAGCAGATGGTGGAAATTTTGAACAATTCTTGTAACTCGTTTGTCGTAATTGTTTATCCAATAATTGAAAATTGAAATTTATAAATACATATTTTTATTATTTTTGGATATTTGATACTGCTATATCTCGAAAAATAATGGTCTGATTGAAAAATCATAAAGACACTTTTTTATCAACTTATCTAGCTTAATATGATCCCACAGTCCATGTCCACGAATTTTGTAACACCCTGTATATCGGAGACATTTTCAACAAAGATGATAACTTCAAGATTAGTTGATATGTTGATCCTCATTATAACTCCTTATACAAGATGTTTTTAATCCATAAAAATAAACCTCGTATTAAACTGGGATACAAAAAAGGACAGCTATTTCCACCTAAGATGTGAATATATTTTACATTTAATTACCTAGATGACAAACGTAAGCTAATATTTGTAGACTATTTTTTTTAGCAAATATATCCAGAACAGCAAATAAACTCCTAATTACATTAATATTTGTCAATGGAATGGAATATTATCTTAATCTCCCCAACATCCTCATAGCAATATCTCTAAACTATGATTAAAATGTGTTGGTTGAACATTCTACTTATTTTTGATATCTATGAAATAGAATTCTATTACAAGTGGAGTAGATATGATAAATTTGTGAAAAAAGCAACAGTTGGAAACCTAGTGCCTTGAAAAACTGCTTTAAAAGTGAATACTGCATCTATTGGTCTACATTTGTCACACTGCATGAAAGTATTTTAAAGCAAATAAAGACTTAAAAGCTTAGTATTAAGAAAATGTACAGCATAATCTTGTAAAAAATAATAATGAGGCAACAACTGAAATGTCACAAAAAATAATATATAAATAAGCACACAACTTCAATTTTAATAATAATTTTATATGAAGGAACCAAGGTGCATAGAAATAATAAAAGAAAACATTTAAGAGATCGATTAAAAATATTAAACTTCAGTTTACATACCTTGTATCTCTTCTGTTAGTATAAATAAAATCAAATTTTTAATTTTTTTCTATGCAACTTGAAAATAATTACCACAACCAAACCCAAAATGTTACACAAAGGCGAATGCTTGTATTAAAAGAGTCTTAATAATTAACAAATAACACATATTTACAAGTCAAACAAAACTTTAATGGATCAATTTTTTATTTAATTATATAATTTAAATCATACAGGAATAATATTACTAACTGGTCTATAACCAACATTATTGTGTGGTAATTAATTGATTTCTACATATTCAAAAACAGAGTACTTCGTACAACCAAAATTTTAATTTACGAAAATATAAATAAAATACCACAACATGAATGATAAACAAATATGGCAAGAGATAATAAAAGCTCTTAACAATTTTATATTTGTAAATATTTTTATTTTGTAAAATGGAGTTATATTTATCACAAATAAAAATACAAATATTTTCAAGTAGAGTAGATAACAAAACGTCCTGTCTAATATCAATTACCAAGTTATGAATATTCGAGTAAAGTTTTGAGTTTTAGTTCTCTTCATCTATCATTATATCTACATTTTTTAAAATAATTTATTAAAATATTTCATTAAAAATTATCTACTCATTCGTTTTCTGAGATTATAATCGTCAAAAAACATAACACACTAAGTACCTACACTTGATTAATTTGTTTAAAAAATACAGTTAAATTTAAAGACAAAATAGTGTCATGATTTTAAATAGTCAAAAAAAAACATTTTTTTTTAGAAAAAATTGGGATAGAAGTATATTTAAATATTGAAAAACATAAAATGGTGGGATTTGTAATTATATTTGTTAAAATAATAAATACAATTACTATAGTGTACTATAATAGTGGATGGCAGATGATATTAAAATAAACATAATATATTTATTATCACATTTTGGCATGTGATACTGAAGGATTAGCTTAAGTGTGATAAAAATTAATAGTAACTTACCTACTTGGTACATTAAAAATAAATATTTGATAAGACATTTTGCAAATCTACTAACTACTACTATTACTGAGGAACCTCTGAAGGTTTTCATTAAATGTAACGTAATAAATAATAAAAATTATTAAAACAAAAATAACAAAACAAATAAAAATAAATATATAATAAAAATAATAGTGGGCGGATTAAATATTGCAAATGAATGATGCAATTAATGTCAAGCAGTCTGATCGCTCATCAAAATTATAGGATATGTAGTACGGCGCCATTGAAACAATTAGATTCCCATTTTACTCATTTCCATGTATATTTACCATAATTAAGGCCACAGTAAAAGAATTACCCCAATGTAAACAGGTATTTCTTCAATTAAGGCGTTAGATTCAATGTCTCTTTTTACAATCACAACTGATATCAAATTTCCAGTAACAAAATTGCTTGCTTCAATTAAAAGATGAGTCGAGTTAATTATTATTAATTTAAACTAAAACTCAGACATTTTCTTTTTATATACATAATAGTTGAAATTGTTTGGAACAGTGAGAAACATAAAATACAAAACATAATTTAACACAATGAAATAATGACTAAATATTTGTCTTAAAATTATAGAATACCTTCTATTAATTTTCAATTAATGGCATATTGACTCTCAATATAATATATGTGTAAACATACATCTTTCTATTGTGTTAATGTAAAATATATCACAGCCTAAGTTTTAAATTTTTAAAAGTTAGTTATATTCTGTTGCAAAAATGGCACACTTTGAAATACAGAAGTACTTTTTAACCATTTTTGTCAAAGTTACAAACTCTTTTTAAATGGTAAATTTCCCTTCCAAATCACAAGGTTTAAACTTTTTAAGAAAATTCAAAAAGATCTATTTGTGAACATAAAACATATATGTATGTATTCTTTAATTTTTGGATTTATAATTATTGTTTTAACCATTTTACCTACTTTATCTATTTCACAAATACTCCATGATAGAAATTTTCTTCATAATAGTACACTTGTAATATAGAAATACATTTTTCTGCATTATATAGGAAACAACACCGCATAGGCAATGCACTTTAATTTGTAGAGTATTAGACTTGTTGAATTCAAGTAAATTGATTTCACTGGTTCGACTAATTTGTCGAAAGACATTATTGACCGATATTGAACTTTGACAAAAACATAAGAGTTAAAACTCCTGTTGTTCTAAATAAAACCTCAAAGAACTCATGTTATCGATATTAAAAACCATTATTGAATTACATTTTTGGTATTACAATATGTAACCTTTGACTAGAATATACCTGTGGACACACTGTTTTTTAAAGAGAGGGAAGACTTCAGTTCCGGCAAAAATTATTTTCGAAATGTTGGAAGTGATGTCTTTATAAAATCAACATTAATATAGTCACAGCTACTCACAGTCAAACTGTAGTAAATAATTGAACAACCAAGTAAATAAACATGAAAATGAGAAAAAATAGGGCGAACATGTAAAGGAAATTAGAAAAATTTACATGCATCCATGCTACCGCATCTCAGTTTAGTTCAATTACATAAGTTTTTAGTACAGACTACATGCAGTTTTAGTAAATTATAAAATAATTCTGGCACTAAGTCAAGCCTTAACAGCTACATAATTTATAGGAACTTGACAAAAATTAAGTACTGCAGTCACAGGTAGGCAAAACTGAATGATGTAACTGTTAAAAATCTAAGTCCTAAATATCTAATTTAAGATAGGAATAAAATGATGCAATAGGTACTTAACGTAACCAACAATTAGACAAAAGGACGCTTAACTGTCGTTCAGATCCTGGGTGTGCACAAAATGGAATAGATAACAAAACATGTACAATTCAAGCAATTATGTGAGGGGATACATCGACATGTGCAACATAGTGAACTGAGTACAATAAACCAGCTAATATCATGTGTTATTATTGACTATAAATATTCTACTATAAAGGCAAATAAAAACCATTTAACGTTTGTTAATTAATTAACTATAATTTTGTATTTGAGATCGTATTGGCACATAATAAATCATAGAGATCAATTAGTAATATTGTCCTATAAAACTCAATCTACTATTAAATAAGTTTAACTTCTAACACTTCTATATCGACAGGAAACTACATTGAAATTTGTATATATATGACAGTGTATCTACCAACTAATTGAATTTAAAGATGTGCAAACATCATTAGATCTACTAATTTTTAAGCAACTATATCACAAAATTAAAAAGGTAATAGCTACTATGTACCTAAATGATTAAAAACTATTTATTTATTTATTTATATTCACATATCTTATCCATATAATTTTTTGATAAAAAATGACTATTCTAAAATTTTAAATAAAATCATAAAATATTTGTAATATATGAAATAATTAACGTTTTAAAGATTTTTCTCAATTCCAATGCTAAAAATGTAAAAATAAAATAAAGAAATATCCGTCATATTAATTACTTTTTGATCCCTTTAAAATAATTAGCAAGTATGTACTCCAAAAAGAACAGCATTAAATATATTTTCATCTGAACTGAAAACTGATTAAAAGCAGTTTTAAAAGGGATGTACAAAAACGTATAAAATTTTGCAGCTGAACCACTGAATACTTATTCTCATTTGATTTAGGATTTTGAAAAACTGAAACGAAAATAATACATTTATGCAAGATCTAGCTCTAATTTTAAGTGTTTGTTGGTGACTAGATATTAGCTGTTTACCGACTTGGAAAGTTTTAAAATTATATTTCTATATTTCCATGACTAACCTCTTGTAACAGATCCTGCGCTGCAATGGCCTTCAGTACATTTTTCTTACTCGTCTCTTGGATTTCACCACCAAGCAGAAGTTCATCGAGTATAAAGTAAGCTTTCTCAAAGTTAAAAATGATATCCAATTCACAAACCTGAAAGATAAATTATTTATAAGAATAAGCAAGCAACTCTGTCATACTTAATTCTTAATCTCAGGGGTCATAAATTAAAAAATAAGTTACTTACACTTCCAAAGTATTTATCCAATAATTCAACATAACGATGAATTACTTCCAATGTCAGTAATTCATTGTCTTCCTGCTCAATTGCACAGCAGAAATAAAGACTGGCATATCTGAAATACAGTATGTATTATTAACATATTTTATTGTTTATGGAAAGTTTCATATTAAAATAATTCATAAGCGTCACCTCTTATACACAATTTTTAAATCTCTCCATTCCAAAAAACTGCACATTTTGGGTTTTCGAGCCAATATTGTTGTAATTAATTCCCTTGTAATCTTCTTTTTCAATTTATCTGGATGGGCAACATACCATTTCTGCAATCGTAGCTTCCCTTGTCGACTAAACAATAACATGAACTGCATCTAAAACAATTAATTTAAATGCATACTATTTCATAAAACGATAATTTGCATTATATACCATCTTGTTATAGATTCACAAAGTTAACTAATAAAGTACAAAGGAAATCAAACACTTTTCATAATAACTGCACAGAAATAAAATTACGAAAATTATTGTATTTATTCAGAAATGGCACACATAAATATTTAAATATTTAACAAATTGACCACAAACGTTACAACAGCCATTTATGTTTGTGACGACTGTAATTTTGACATTGCCAATGATGATGTCATAAGAAGCAGAAGCGCACAAAACATAATACACACAGATACCGAACTATAGAAGCGTATCAGCGATGGGAGTATTCAATGAACATGTACGGAACGAGTACAGGAGTACACCAAATAGAACGGTCGAACAAACTATACTCCGCAGTAGAAATTATAGAGAGTGACTCAGACATAATATAAAAACACTATTACCATAATACGTATAAAATATAAAACGATTTTTATATGGTTCAATATTATTTATCTTTGTGACGCTCGCTACGCACATCGATATAATCTATAATCGTCTATAGACTGAGTTACACTGAACGTCGACCTATATTCTATCTCTGTCTTCTGCACTTGGTAGGGAATAGGGGAATGCTTTTTTAGTGGGTGTAAAAGGACTTGATTTACCAGTCCTGAGAAACGTCATAGCATAAGCGTAGACGAGGGGTCTAATTCCATGGTTATAATAAATTTATAAATTAAAAAAACACAACTGGGACGTTTTAAAATGCTGTAATAATTAAAATGGATCAAAGTGCCGGTTATAGCAAACCGTAAAAAAATATTAGATGTTATGTTTTATTATCTTTTTTCAATATTTTCTATATCTTGTTGCCTTTTACGCAGACACGCCAATGGATTTTCGTTCCCGGCACGCTTCATCCCTCTTACTAGTCCAAAAGCTAGTGATGAGTCACTCTATAATTTCGACCGCGGAGTATAGAGTTAGTAGTGTCGTAGAGTCCATGTTAGATAGGCCTGAAATAACTTTAATGGAATTATTCTTTTTATATGCAGAAAAACCTAACCTACAGTTTAAACTTTTGTATTGTTAAGAAAAAAAACTCGCTTACCGGCAGCCTCAAAGGAAACTGGATTGTCTGTTGGCTGCATTTTGAAACTATTGTCATTGTCGAACAGTGTTACTCTAATCTATGAGTGCTATCCACGCCAATTTGAAATATGACTTTATTAACTTGTTCTCAGATTAAAAAGGTAACTTTAAGGCTGGTGTTTTTTTGGTTCTGTCTGCAGACAATCTTGAAAAGATTCAGAATAGTTACCCAACTGTTTTATCAGTATCAGTACCTATGTATTTATTGGCTATTGGCTTAGATGTTCTTATGAATGGAATGATCGATTAACTAATTTGAACTGTCCTAGAACCGTTCTCTTTAGGAACCTTCGAGTATATACTAGTGGAGGCTGGAGGCAGCATGCCATTGCGAAAAGTGTGGCTGAGTGTGCGAGAGAGACAGACAGTATCTTAGTACATGCTGTCTCACTCTAGCATGCACGCGATTGGTTGAAAATGAATGCTCGCGTTCATTGGCTCCCACAGGGCTCCCGTCGTTGAAGCGAAGCATGACACAGCATGTACTTAAGTAGTAATTTCCTTTCTGCTATTTCTGTCCTTACTTTTTCCTTCTTTTCGTCCACTCAATCTCTCCTTTTTGTCAATTTGGTCCTTTCTCTGTCTCTTGTATTGCTATGCTGGCTACAATTTCCCGACTCGCCTTAATAGCTCCTACTCCTTATCTCCTTTATTCTTAGCTACGACAATTCAAATAATTTCACTAATATGACTACTTGATAATTAATCTTTAGTTATCTGTCAAACTTCGTGTACACCCTTATTCTTTCTTCAAACACAATTTTTCTCTAATTTTAATTTTCTCTGTTGTTATTTTCTTTCCTTTATAGTTTCCTACACGATAAACAACAATTTTGTATTCTCCTCACTCCTTAAGAAAATTTTATTTCTTTTCTCCTCTCTCCTGTCTTATTTATTATTTTTTTTGTCGTCTCCTAATTACCACTGCACTGCAATCTTATTTTTAAATACAATTTTTTCTTAACTTATCCTTTTTAATTTAACCAATCAGATTACTTTTTAATTTTACATTTCCAATTTAACCTTTGCAATACTATTTAATCAGTATGTTGCTATATAGTAGGTACCCTTATTTTATGACCACTTTTATTAATTTAGATTGATATTTCATCGAAATTTATATTTTACTTTAAATTGTCATTTTGCATCTAATTGTCATCTTAAACTCAAATCTATTACTTAACTCTTACATTGTCATTCTTTGACAATAATCTGTTTTCATCCTAATACTGAAACTTAAACTTTTGATTCATCTCAATATATTATTATATGTTTAATTTGGTCGTAGAGGGGAATTAAACACTGTGGATATGGGGGTAGAAAAATGTTGGCTTGGGTCAATGTGAGAGGTTGACACCGGTCGGCATTTGAACATATTAATGAAGTTTTCCAGATTTCTCTCATGCCTACACTGAATAGTTGTTAAGGCTTGTACGTTCGTTCCTGTTCCCTATTGTTGTTGTTATCGTTATTTTTATCAATATCATTATCGTTATAGTTATTCTTATTGTTATTGTCATCTGTCATCGTAATCGTTATAGAGTAAATAATGTTTTTGCATTGTTGTTCTCGTAAGAGGGTATATACCTACCTATACACTTACAGCTTATAAAACTAATGATTACTACCTACTGAAAAATAAAAACGGGAATATCGTTTTATGTTCTGATAAATGGCCACCGTACATATTTCCATAAATTAAAGGGTGCTTCGGGTAGAAGACTTTTAGAAGTGTTTGTCATTCCATGTCAATAAAATGCATCAATACTTAAAAGGAACTTCAAAGAAATGTTTCTTACTTATTCTTATTACACATCCATTTGACGCGAAAAGAACTGTCCAGTAACAATATTTTATACTGTCTTACATTTTTCTGACAACTTTGTAATGTTATACAACAAAGAGATATGAATTTAAAACATTTGCCTACAATATTATTTTTGAATATACCAGTCACTCTCGTGATCACGTAAGTACAAATATTTACCTACCTGTCCTTTTAGGTACCTTAGTTTGTAACAGATAATTTTGAAAATTTTTTTAAATGCTTGTGATATACATATGTATATGTATTAGTAACGAGCGTAAAATTAAGACGTGTGTAAAAGGTGACATTATTTTAGAATTTTTTTGATAGTACAAATATGTAGATAGGTAGTTTAAAGAAGCTATCTCTTGATGCTTTTCAATTTCAGCTTTGTTTACTTTAGAAATGTAATAATTCTAAAATCTATTAAGCATCAGACTTATAGAGTGTATTTTGTGAACCCAAAATAAAAAAGAATATATTATCATTCGGAGATACTTGGAATAATCGAATTCAAAAAATACAAATTTTACACTAGAATTTAGGTGTAGGTATATTTTAATAGTTTAGTAAAATCATAGGATACTTTTTAAAATGCAAAATCAGCAATAATATTTTCATTGTCCAATAAAAAAATTTGATTAGTTTTTAATTAAATTTAGGCCTTCCAGATGATTCTTTCTATAAAAATAGCTTTTATGATATTTCAATTTTCTCGATCTAGTTTTAAATTCAGGTAATCTTGCATCTGAGACAGTTGAGAACACAATTTTTAATTTTTTTGAAAAAATGAAAAATTTACAAGGGTGTTACTGTCTTAAGTGGGATACCCAGTTGTAATAATGTATGTACAATCCGTATGATATTTGTCGAGATAGAATTCCCTTGAAATTTTCTACCTCGGGTGTCGAATGCGGTTAATTCCAATAATAGTGACGCATGAGTCTTCTTGGAATTCTATCTCAACAAATATCGTACGGACTATACTTCCTGATTGTTTATTTTTCAGATTTAATTTAGCATTTTATTACAAACATGTAACGTATATGGTGCCCTATATTAGCGATTCGGGAGCCCTTCCTCCAGAAAGTTGTATATTCGGACAATCTCTGAATATATTGGCTTTTTTGAGTACGTATATTATTTGTAAATTACTTTTTAATATTTCAAAAGAACGAAAAAACTAAACAAATAAAAAATTGGGTTTGTATTTGTTTTTTTTTTCTATATTCTGTATAACACATATTTTACTGTAGTTGTAAGAAGACGTTCTACATAAAACAAATTCTGCCATAGCTTTAGTAATATCAGTCATATAAAAGGGAGTTTCAAATAAGATTTACTCTCTTCACACTCTAAATTATTGTTTATTATACAGAGTGTCCCATTTCTTTCCAATGTTATTTAGCTACGGGGTTTCAAAAGAACTTATATATTACCGCATTTTTTAATTTCTCGTTGAGTTTAAAGCTTAATTAACAAAGCAATTTTGAGTTTAAGTTGTACCGGTTCGGTGTTATTTGATATTTAATAATATCAAATTTCTGAAATTGAACAAGATCGAATCAAATTTTCATGGGTAAAATAATCTGGGGAAATGATGTTTTAGTAACGTAAACTGTCGTAGATATTGGAGAAATATAAGAAATATTTACAAAAACATGCGAGGATATTTCTTCTCAAAGAAATTTTCGATTTTTATGACAATATGATCGCATTAAGCCAATACAATGTATTACAAATGCGTACTCTGAGGGAAATACAGTGCCTTCATAAATGATTACAAGTTACATAACCAATAATTTAGTTTGGAACAGTAATTTTATTTCCTTCACGTTGGTAAATTTCGTTAAAATTAAAACTTATTAAAACAAAAGATGAAGATTCCATTCTGTTTCACCGGATGTGATTGGCGTAATTTTTCACGAGATTTTCAACCAATCAGCGATCGCATTACCTTAAGGCTAGACGTAACGGTTTTTCATTGTTCATTGTAAACGAATCATTAATATCGGTGACGCCAAGATTTAGGGACTTTTCGTTACCAGTATCAGCCCTGTAATGTTAGTTGCCTAAGCTCGGCGGCGGCAACGTGACTTGTAAACATTTATGAAGGCTCTATATCATTTAGCCATAAATAGAAATTGATTAACCCTAACAAAATATCTACTTTAAATAAGCTGCTGCCACAATAAAACATATTTCGTTAAAAGGAGTCATTTGGTTAAAAAGTTTTTTGTTATCTTTTTATTTATTGACTCAATTCCATGCATTTTATTATTACAGTAGCCATAGTACAAGTTTTATCCTAGCAAACATTTTTGACGCAGTTGTTGAGTTGTCATCGTAAGATGACGAGTTTTATGGCAATATAAGAAATTATCTTTATTTATTTCAAAGAAGTGACTTTTTAGATACTAATAAGTGATTTTTTTGCCATAACTATGTGCATTTAGCTCAATCAATTATTTTCCCTTAATATTTAAAACGTTACAAGTAAAATACTTTACTTTTTTAAGTTTTTATATATAAAACAAAAAATAAAAACCAAAATTGATAACTTATGAACACTAGGTATAAGTACTGTCACTACACATAGGTGCAATTTCATATGCGTATACAGTCACAGCATAGTTGTTTATTATTACTGACATAATACGTAATTTGTATATAAAACGGGCATTCTTCGTGTAGCACTGTTGGACACAAAATGTCTGTGCAGATCTCGCGTTTGTGTGTTAGCGATGACTACTACGCGCTAAAAGAATATCTAGATACTGTTACAAAATGTCCTTGTAGCCATAGGTAGGTCTCAAAAACTGTACAGGTTGTACAATCTAAAATTTTAAATAATTTTAAAATATGTAGAAATCGATTTCGTATGATTTTCTTTTTGGGAACTTTTATTTACTATTGATATTATCAGAGCTACGCATGAATCCGTTTTAAATAATAAAAAAAATGTTGGATTAGTCTCTAAACTTTTTTGAAATCTTTTGTTTGATTTAAAGTTCATAATATGCAACAAACGTAAAAACATCCTTTTTTACCTGTTACAATAAATACTCTATCTTTGTGTAAAAACATAAATGAAGACTTGACACACTTAACAATTGGAATCTAAGTATTTACTTATTAGGTTTCATTTCACTGTGAACAACACATTTTTGTTATAATTATCACGTACTTGGAAATATTTTGTTAACCCTAAATCTGAGCGTAGTTTATATAATTTGTTTCAGCTGCGTTTGCCATGTATATCAGATACAGATACGTAAAGGAAATGTGTGAAGGACACTGCATTTATTTGAAAAACAGGAGAATGAATTTAGCATCCCTTTATACTGGTTTGGGAGCGGCGATAGGCGTAAGCGTAGTCGCAAATTTTCAGGAAGCATTCGTGTTGTTTGTCCACGTAATTGGAGCCTATGCCGCTTTTGGATTGGGATCAGTTTACCAATGTTTACAGGTACAAGAGCGTTAAGCCATCGCCACATATGCGGTATTCGCCGAATATGGAGCAAACTGATGACTATGAATTAGCGTCACGGAAATTCTTGGCTCTATACTCGGCGAATACCGCATGTGTATGCCCGCTTAAAGTACGGTTTGTTAGGGCCGTCCTTATTACTCCAGTGGAATTAGATCATAAAACCTGAAATTTAAAAAAAATATATTAGTAGACATTTTATTGCACTTTATAACGGGGAAGAGTATGTAGAATGATAATATCAAAAAAGTACTTCGAAGGAAGTGACGCTAAGTTGGCAAATTGCAAAATTACGTGTTTTTTAACTGTTTTTACTGCCTACTAAAATCTAGACGACCTATCGGAAAATTTGTCATGTTGTAGGAAATTAAATTACCTACAATTTAAGGTACCTAAAGTTATATTTACCAATTTGTTAACTGTAAAATAAAGATCGAACGCGGAAATATCAGTTTCCGAAAATTGCGCATTATTATTGCAAAAAGCAATGGATGTTGATGAAATTTATGGAAAAGACGGTATCCAAACGCAAGTGGGGTTAAAATTTTATTTTCAAAAAGTTTTACATTGATAGTTCATGTAATAAACGCGCTAGTAGCAGTAAAAGTTAACGTTAATGAACGGCCTGCACGCGAGAGAAGGAGCGACAGGCCCGTGCATGCGCGTGAACACCGCTCTCGTCGCGTGCGAGATTTTGTACTTGAACGTTTCAAATTCGGTTCAAAAGGTCTTTAGGCACGCATGCTGGTCTTTGGATTGATCGTCTTTTCCATAAATTTCATCAACATCCATCGTTTTTTGCAATAATAATGCGCGATTTTCGAAAATTGTTTTTCCGCATTTAACCCTTATTTTACAGTTCACAAATTGGTGGTAGATACCTTAAATTGTAGGTAATTTAATTGCCTACAACACAAAATAACTAATTTTCGTCTAGATTTTCACGGGCAGTAAAAAAAAATGAAAAAATACGTAATTTTGCAACTTATTTGAATTTGCTAACTTAGCGTCACTTTGTTCGAGTTACTTTTTTGATTTTTGATATTATTATTCTGTATACTCTTTCCCGTCATACAGTGAAATAAAATGTATACTAATAATTTTTTTACGTTCAATATCTACTTCGACTGGAGTATATGGAAATGTAAGTGGTTTGTTTGATCGCATTTCATATCAATATGCGACCGCCATCGGCAGCAGCTGACGACTCAATTGCTCTGTAGAAGTAGTAGTGAACTGTCAATGGCACTACATATTAATATAAATATCGATAGCTGATACTATCGAATTACAGGTACCTATATCGATAGTTTATTAAGAACAATCGACAGTTTTCGATTGTGCCTTCTGTAAATAAATATGGTACAATTATTTGCTCAAAGTTTTACATTGTACAAAACCAATAGAATTGTTGAAATAAATAGAAAGCTTAATATAGAAACAAATTACTTGTAATATGGAACAAACCTGGTAACAAGCAACACAAATCGAGATCACGCTCACAGATAACAATATTTTTCCTTTCTATATGATCACGCTATCTGTTAAATGTTTAATATGGCGTGATGTATAAAAAAATTGTCAGATTTATTATAATTCACAGATTGTCAGTTTTAAATCCTTAATGTTGCTCGTAAACTCTGTTCTTTACACAAAAAAATCGAAGATGGGCTGGCCACTCTATTGCACTGTATCTGCCGATCCTCTGATACTGAATGAGATATAACCTCTTTAACGGGCAGTGGTATCGTGAGAGAGCATCTTCATGGTCACATCATAGTTTTCATTGGGAATATCTTGAATGTATTAATTTGTTTACCTTAATGGTACAGCCAAGCAGCAAATGAAGCACAATTTGGATATTTATTGTAACATTATTTTCATCTAAAACGATGGTTTTCTAAAGCAAACAACCTGCTTTATTATCAGAAAAAGTTAACTTAAAGCTAACATACATTTAATTCCTGAAAGTAACATTAATATTTTCTAACACTCGCTGCAGTAATCAAAATTCAGGCCATATCATTCTTTATACCTAATTATTATTTGAAAACAGACAAAAGTTTATCTAAATAAAATAAAATTTTAATTTTCGATAATGCCATGTGTTCAAAAATATCAACATTTTTTTTTTAAATTTCAGACTATATTGTACTACCGAATGTCAAGAGTAGTAGAGAACAAATACAGCAATATCGTTCGTATATTTCTCTCTGTAGTGTCAGTAATATCATTTAGCATATGTGCGGTTTTTGCTACCATAGCTTTTGGAATGTATGATGGTAAGTTTATAACAAAATAAAATGCTTCTATGAACTTAAGTCACTACTACTGAAAATAAATTAATAGATAGAAATTGATAAAAAGTTGTGGTTTATTTCAAGTAACAATAACAGTTTAGCAAAGTTATATAAATACATTTTCTTTGATTTGAAATATCTTGAAAGAAAAAAATATTACGAAAATGTTCAGTCTTCCGAATCTGTCCTTCTATATACATAGGTATAAGATATTTGTGGACAATTAAAACTAAAACTGCATACCTACCAAATAACACCATCCTTTTCTCTGTAATTTAATGGAAATTATTTGTTTCTAAATCTAATATATTTATAATAAAGCATACTTATATTAAAACGCTGCACCCATTGTTGCATGTGAACTTTTTGTCAATTTGTAACGTTGAATATGCTATTTTAGTCTTGTCAAGTATCTTAGTTACACCCTGTATAATATGTTCCTATTCTTCTAGGTAATACCGTTCAGAACTGGAAAGAAGAAGACAACGGGTACAATTTTCATATAATTAGCACGATTGCGGAGTGGATCTGTGCTGGTTGTACAATATTTTTTCTGTTTCTCTTCAAAAGTGAATTTGAAAATATTGATGTCATGGAACCAGAGATTTTTATTCGTGATGCTTTCGTCATAACGATAAACAATGAAGAGTCAGCTTCTCGTGTTATTGCTGGACCTGACACAGATAATGGAAAATACTAACAGTTACAATATGCACAAAAAAGTTTGTTATTTAGTTGCAAATACAAAATGTCTTTGGTTAAGTAAGTTGGAAACTTAAACCATAAGTCAAAGCTACAATTTTTGAGTAAACGTTAACAGAAGATACTGACACCTATCTACTTTTTAAAACAGTTTATCGTTTGTGCCGTGTTAGGAAAACGCTTTTTAAGACAAAAAGGGTCCATTCAAGATATTAATATGAAACTTTAATAAGAGCTTCTTAGGATGTCAATCTACATATTTTTTTATCTACCATTGAAATAAATGCAATACTCGAAGAGCTACGAGGTTTACATTGATTTGCCATTCCATCACTTTATAGAGAAGAGTGAAATAGTTTATATAACAATTTGGTTTGTTACACAATAACTGGCTTTGTATAATTGATATTTTTTTTCATTGAAAGTTAAGAAATATAGATATAATGAGAATATGAGAAATGTATTGAAAAGTAAATAATATAAGCATCAAATGTATACTTTAAAACTCACATTATTTGTATGTATGTTATATAAAAACTAGATTTTGACTGGAAATCATCAATATTTTTCAACATTTTTGTTGTAATTTATAGCTAATGTAAATTGATTAAATAATGAATAAATCCTTTAATATTATTATTTTTACTTCACCACATATCGATTATATTTTTTACAATACATAAAAATACCGAATTATGCTTTTCCCTTTGCAGAAAAGGTAGTAAAAATTACAAACAATCCGTTTTGGTACGAGAGGATTTCACACCTATTGACTATAAGGCTACCATTTTGCTTTCTAAAGTAAGTAATAATTTACAGATTAGGGCCACTAATGGATGTGAATGTTGTAAATTGGCAACTGTTTATGAAAATCCACCACTTGTGAATGCACATATAGATAATATTAGATATTTAATTCTGAGAATCTTTTTATCGATGCATTGTCGATGATATACAGGGTGTTTATTAAACATACGGCAAAAATTCAAGGGATTCAATTTCCTGGACTATTCTAAGAATATTTTGTCCTCCGATGATTTTTGAAAAGCCGCTCTGTTAGATACAGGGCGAGAAAAATTTTCGACAATAACCACATTTTATTACCGAAAATTACATGTACCTAAAGCTTCTTAATCTACAAGAATTGTTGAAAATAACTACCTCCAGCTAGGATGCAAGAATCCAGTCTCCTCCTCATTAACTGCCGAACTCTTTCAAAAACACCAGGGTCGCTTATTATTAAATTACACCCAGCAATTATCCTATTTCTTAAATCTTCCACATTTTCCACTGGAGTAGTGTAAATGACTTTAGATGGTCCCATAGGAAATAATCCAGGGAGTTTAAGTCCGGGCATTGAACAGGCCATAAGTGAGGTCAACCTCGACCAATCCAGCGATCTCCGTACGTTACTGTTAAAAACTCACGAGCAACCATACTAAAATGCGCTGGCGCACCATCGCGCATAAACCACATTGCGTTTCTTGTTGCCAATAGTACATCCTCCGGGAAAAGTCATTGACAGAATGCAATACGTGGAGGAAAATCGGCAGGAAGAAGTACCTAAACACGTTATACATTGAAAGTAATATCAATTTTTCGAGTAAAGTACCTGGATCTACCTGTATCATGTCCAGCACATTCTCTTCCACTTCTACCGTTCTTATTGTCACTGGCCTTCATGGTCCTCAACTTCGTTTCAATGTGTCTGTTTCATGAAGACGTTGACGAATACTTTGGAAAGTTTTTCTATTAGAAACATTACGGTCAGGAAATCGTCAACAACAACCGCCTAATGAAATGTATGTCAGTCATCTCGGCGTTCATATAGCGATTCACTATAAAGGACTTCACTAATAAAAGTTTAACTATTAAAGACATAAAATACACGTCAAACAGCCAAACGTAAATCAGTCTCAACAAATTCGACACATACAAAATGATCAATCACGAGACGTAGATATTCAAATGAAATCCACGTTCAAAATGGCTTCTCTTCAGTGCCTGCTCTTGCCTCTTTTTTTTTCTTTAAAAATAAATTTATATTCAGTAAACCTAGTGTAGTACGCCATACTTATATATTAATAATTTCAAAAATATCAAAATTGGTTTTGTCCAAAATTTTTCTCGTTCTGTATCTTCGGAACAAAGCGGCTTTTCAAAAATCATCAAAGGACAAAATATTACAATAGTCTAGAGAATAGCCTCTTGACTTTTTGCCGTATGTTAATAAACACTCTGTAAATATGTAGTCATATTTAGTATTTTTTTGGTATCTATAACTTAGTTACCTATCACTCAGTTATATTTAGTTAGATAAGGCACTGGACTTTTGATTTTAGTGTAGCAAAAAAATAAATATCAAAAATTGTAACTATCTACAATCGTACTGTAAGTCGTTATGAATTCATAACGCATTTTTTTGGCGGTATACCTATACCAATTCCTATGTCCCTTTTCAATAAGCCATAATGGGTCCGCCATTTTGGTTTTAAGAATTTCCGAATTAAAACCTTATATTCGTGATTTGCGACTTTGAAAACCACCGAGTTTCAGCCATAATCTTCAAGTTTTGAATGCTTTTGCGATTTTTCACCCGCTATATTGGATCCACCATCTTTTATTCAGGAAATTTTCGGATTCGAACTTCAGATGCATAATTAGCAACCCCAAAAACCCGCGGTATATATGGCTACATTAGTTCCAACAAGAGTACATTATTTTTAGAAAATAAAATTGTACATTAGAAATTGTAGCCCGAATACTAAAAAACATCTAACCTCAAAAAAATTGAAACCTAAAATATAATAGGAATGTAGCGTAACTAGTGCCCTCTATGAAATATCCAAAAAATAATTAGAGCACCGTATTTGGCATCCTTAAAAACCCCGGAATACCAAATTTCATAAAAATATTTCGCACCGTTTGGAAATTTTCATAAAAATTCTATTTAAAAAATGTTAATTTGTCGCTCTGTGTCTAGAAAACAAGAGGAGATAGACACATAGTTCATAAGAGAAAAAATTATAATTTTTTGTCATACTATCATCCCCTGAATTTACGGGAGGTCTTTCGGAAACACACTGTATATAAATTTTAGAAAAATATGTTCAAATTTAATAAACCGTCATCATACTACTAATTGATATTAATGTGTTTTATTTTGTTAATTATATTTCATATTAGCGGTTGCTGACGAATAAATAATAGGTACTTAAAGTTTGACGTGTATTTTTTACCTTGGAAGAACTTATAACATCTTCTTGACAGAAGTCTTACTTTCACAAAACCACTTTCACATTTAAGATATAAAAATAATTTTTGGTATTTTATGAAGAATGTATGAACTCGTTATTACTCTACTAATAATCTATTTCTATTAAATTAGCTATTTATATGTATATTTATTAAGGATGCAACGAGACAATGTAATTTTAATTGATGAATCTTCCCGCTCACTGATGGAACTCGCCAGCATATTTAAAGCGAACAGAGATTGTTCAAGGCGAACTAAAATTTTTATATGCAACATTCGCAAAATAGCTTAGGTATAACTGGTTTGTTGAAGAAGTCCTTCGATGTTGTGACAAGTGTTTTGATCTGTAATCCACAACAAATATTTGTTTATTATGTTGTGACGTGAAAGGAAATAACGACGCAGTCGCTGATGAATGGGAAGTGTCGTTGTTTAATAGACAAACGTAGTAATGGAAATTAGTGTGAAATTATTGCCATTCATAACTACTTCCCTGCTGGTTTTGACAATTATCGTCACGTAAGTTAGATGAATTCTATGTAACAATAAATGTAGTTCCATTTTGAATGTATTTAAGACGTTGAGTACGCTTTCATTGAACTCAATTACTTAAAATATTCAAGTTTAATGATATTTGAAAAACGGTAAATTAGATGTTTTGTAAGCGACTAACCTCATCTTCTAAAGAATGTTGTAGGTATGCTGCGCGTTCACTAACTTCCTTCTATCCAGGAGTTCTTTCATTGCCGTGTTGATAGCGTAATTAAAAATATATTTGAATGACCAGGATATGTGTTTAGTATTTAGTATTGGTATAGTAATTCCTCTATACACGACTGTCAACTGCACACATTTGAAATAAGTGTACGTATAGTGTTCCAATATTCTTGGTGTTGAAATAAGACGATTTAACTGGACCTGCTTTGGCTTAATTTGATTTTTTTAAATTTATTTTATATTTTAAATGAAATTCGGTATGTTAGTACCTATAATTAAATATCACTTTTTAATACAGTAATTGAAGCTATTGTATTTTTATAGAAATGGGAAAAATACCTCCAGTCTTATAAGCAAAGTTGATGTTATTTTAAATAAAGTGTTATTTAAAAACGGCCTATTATTTTCCTGTGTATAAAATCTGTAGTAATTCTAATAAATCCAGTTACTTGTAATATCTTACAAATCAAAAATATGTTATTGCATCAGTCTCATATTTTTTTATTACGTATTTTATTTATTTATTTTGTCCTGTTTATACATACGCATAAGAACCGATCAAGATCATTTGCATATACATATATTTGATTCAAGTTTAATTATTTCTTTTTAAATTATTCTATGTTATGTTATTACCTTTATTACTGTTTCTGTTTTTTCATCATGCTGTATATTGTATTACCTACTTCTTTATTATGTCCATGCAGTATTACAGTTTTCTGCTCTTGCTGTACATTACCATTTTATTTTATAACATTTTAACTAAAAATATATTATATACAATTTTCACTATTCTGTAACAAGAATTTATACACATTCTGATTTTTCATGGCTGATCTTTCAACCTATGTTATTATTTCGTCAGACATATAAGGTTTTTCGCAAATTTTTTCATTCGGGTAGTTTTTTTGCATTTTTAATGGTGTTCGTGTGACTATTTTGTTTGTCACCACCAACTCATTTTTCATACAAATTTATTTAATTGTTGCCATTTTTTTTGCTTTGTGATAAAAACGAAATAATGCTTTGTGAATTTCTGAAACATGTAATCACTGTCTTTTTTGTTTTTATTGCAATTAAAATATGTTTGTGCTGAAAATGTGCTGGTAATTAAGGAAATAATTAATTAACCGAAAATTATTAGAAATGCAAAATATTTACGTAAAAATTAAAATCTGTCTTATAAAAAAAGAAATGAAATATAGGTGATATATTTCCACATCTGCAAATGGAAGTACTTAATTAATTTAATTTATTTAATTAATTCAATTTTTGTATTTACAGGAAACCCAAATGATACAATCGAAATAATAACAGTTATTGAAAATTTTTTTGCAATAAACAATACCTTAACAAATAATATAAAAATAAGTACTACAAGACAATCATCATTTACAAGTAATAACTGAGTTCTTTTATGAACTTAGAAAGTTGACACCACGATGCCTCAAGGATATCAAAATCCTGTGGCGATGCCTTACTAATTTCATTAATGAGAGAATATAATCCAACATTAGTGCGAGATTGATCTAAATAGAGAAATTCATTTGACCTGGTAGTGTAGTTTGGCACTCATATATTAAATAATGATAATAATTCACTACAATTTATTCTGTTATGAAAAAGTTTATGAGCAAATTTTAAATAAGAACAATGTTTCCTACATTTTAGAGATTGAATACTAAAATAGATATAATCTTTCACTATATTCATATTCATCTTTATTAATATTCAATTTAAAGAGCACAAAATTGCATATTTTCTTTTGAATATGCTCCAAACGATCTACATGATTGGCAAAATGTGGATTCCAAATAATACAACAATATTTCAAAGTTGAACGCACCAGAGAGTTATATAAAAGAATAATAGAAGTAATATTAGTGAAGTTCCGAGTTTGACGTTTAATGAAACCACTCATTCTAAAACATTTGTTCAATAAATCTTCAATATGAGACGTGAATTCCAATTCATAATCAAATTTTACTCCCAAATCCTTCACTGTCTTTACTCTTTCAAGTTTTATAAATATTATCAATAAAATAATCCGACAACCAAATATTCTTTCTACGAGTAAAAGAAACTATTTTACATTTATTATGGTTTAACTCCATATCGTGGGATTCGCACCATTTGGCTAATTCATTCAAATCGCTCTGAATTGCATCACTATCCGTGGAATCCTTAACACTTAAAAATAATTTCAAATCATCGGCAAACATTAAATATCTACATAATTTCAAGATATAAGACAGATCATTTACAAAAAGAAGAAACAATATTGGTCCCAGATGGCTACCCTGAGGAACACCAGATGTTACAATTATTTCACGTGAAGTAAACACTTTAACTTTAACCATTTGAGTTCTATTTACTAAATATGACTTCATCCACAATAGCAAGTTCCCGATTAACCCATAAGATTGAATCAACCTGGTAAAATCTGGCTCCAGATGTGTGATTAATGAAGGTGAGATCAACCAGCAATCCTTATGATGCTAAATTTTACTGAAATCGGTGGATTTCAAAAAAGTACACTCGCCATATTGGATCAGCCATCTTGAATTTTTACAATGTGAATTCATATTCGTAATCAGCGACCCAAAAAACCCCTTTATACAAAATCTGGTCAAAATCCGCTCAGAATTTGAAAATAGCGATTCCTGCTCGGTTTTTTGAGGTTAGAAAAAAAAACACACGTTCTAGCTTAATTCTGACAGTGGATTTGAATTCAGCAGAGTCTTTTACATAAAAATGTACTATTTGATGTGGAAATAAATTTTTTTCCAAATTTTCCCAGTAAATTTTCATCAATTTTCACTATTTTTCACAAGTTTTTTGAGGTTAGGAAAAAATTGTGATGTGATGGGCCAATTCTGACCCCAGATTCGTGTTCAGCGGGCCAAATTACTACGAAAAATATATGTCGCATAAAAAGTATACCCAACTTTTTTTTTTGTGTGTGGCTGTGATTAATAAATGCAGAAGATTTATTGTCAGAAATAGTACAAACTGAAGCAAAAAAAATCGGCAAATGCATTACATATATCAAGACTAGATTGTAGTGTGCAGTTGTTACTTCATTTATCATACCAGAAATTGATCGACATACAATTAGCTTATATACCAAATTTCATTTCAATTGAGATCGTAGGAAAAATTCGGAAAAACTAAAACTGTTTTCTAATCTTGACACCCATTGGCAGCTTTCGATAGATGTAAGTTTGGTTAAATGGTCTCTGATTTTGGTTCTGATATTGGGACACTCGGTATATGCCAATTATGAAATTTATTAAAATGCTTTTCCAAATTTTAATGATTTGTTGTATCCCATATTTAGAGACCGACAGACGACTATGATAAACATCAAAGAACATTAAAAAATATTTCTTGTATGGTGTTTTTAGGATGCATTATTGATAACATATTTCTCTGTGTATCTTTCTTTCCTTTTAATTAAAATACTATAAGTTTTACTGAATTAATTATTATTATTATTCATTTTTCGAGTAAAAATTTTTATCAAGAACGCCTTTTTTCGTATCTTGCAAAATAAGTTATGATTACTCTTACGCAAAATAACATTTTTGTGTTTTTGACCCAACCTGTACAACAAAATTGAAGTTCGTCATGGTGATTCATATTTTCTAAATTAGCAAAAACTTTTATCAAGCATGCCTTTTTTTCATATCTTCCACTTTTTGGTCTATTTGTTCTTTTGTAAACTCAATCCCCGGACACTGTAAAGTTATAGAAAATTATGTAAAACATTGCATTATCGAAAATTGAATGATATTTAAAATCTAATCTACAGGATTTTGAGCTATTTTTTTTAGGTTTTTATAATTTGCCTATATACGAGAGATTATCTGTAATTCACTTACAAAATTTTACAGATAATTTTTTACTAAAAGTTTTTTTGCGATTATTACCTAACCTAGACCCCCGAATTTTTTTTATTATGACAGCACAGATATAATTTAAAATACAAATAACTTCTTTGTTTCGTTCTTTATTTTTTTTTGTATTTTTAATTGTTTGGATGGTGTTCACCAAAATATGGTGGCGCAATTTGCCAATGAATGAATTTTTTTATCATATATCTCAAAAACAATTAAAAATCATATAATTTTGTCGAAAGAATAAAGCAACTCTTAACGTTAAGATTCTTTGCATATTATTAATAACATTATTTTATTTTAGCTTCTGTTTGTCACTAAGTAAGAAACATGTAGTTGGTAGCCTGCCATATATAAGCGATACAGGAACTAAAACTCCAGAAAGTTGTATATTTGGCCAAGCATTAAACATATTGTGGGTGTTACGTGAGTAATATTATTATTGTTTCCAATTAACACGTCTATGCGAATATATACAGGATGCGCCCTGTAAGAAAGCAAGGTAAAATAGTAGTTTAAGTAAGGATTTAATCGGTGGTTTTACTGCCAGTCGTCACGCTATTAACCAAATATTACATCACCAGTCCAACCGATAGTGTATGGTCACAGAAGATAAAACAACCAGAATTATATCTCGTTGTCGGCACCTTTGATCACTGATGTCTGTTTTCAGGGACCTTGAATGACGTAATAGAAAGTCAGGATTGTATTCAGTGAAATTTTATTGCGCTAAACAGGGATGTACTAACAAAAAAGCCAGGAATTTATGTGCAGCAGAAAATGAGGTTAATCATGCAAAAGACTTAGTTATTTACATGGAAAAAGTTTTTTAAAGGCGAATTTTAGATTTATTTTATTTTTAAGTTAAACCAGTCTATTAATGAAATTATTAAATGTTAAAAATATTTATAGTTAAGATCAAACTACTGAATAATTACATATTCAATATTTGTTAACATAATTTAATATAATTTATAAGTACAAGGCAAAAAATGAAAAATTAAAAGAATTGTGTAAATAAACATACAGGGTGACCCGTTCACGTTTCAAAAAAACTTGTGTGCAAGTTCCTCTTGGTAAAATAATGGGGGTAGTTCATGTAACGTTTTTTTCTTACACGCCCTGTTTTCGAGATACAGTGTGTTGAAGTTGTTACTTTCCAAATGGTTTTTGGTTAATTATCTAAAAATCGGCTAAAGATAAAAATGTAAAAATTTGTACACGAGTAAACATCAACTGTGCGTTAAGAATAATGTGCAAACGGTTTCTTTTTGAAAAGGGGTACAATAAAAAAAAATATGTTAAAAATCAAAATTTATTACATTTTTAAACGGTTCTGTAAACTCTAAAGCATACTACAAAAAAAGGTATATTTGTCGAAATTCGGTAGCATGTACTTACCATTTTCGAGAAAAATTAAGTTGCATTTTTTTTGCTCACATAAAGCGGCATAACAAAATATTAAATTGAAAGAGGACTTTACCATTGAATGGGTTGAAGACATTTAGCTACCAACAGTATTTGCATTTAAGACTATAATTTCAATTTCTTACGAATCACATTAAACAGTTAAATTGTAAAACATATTATTAATTAAAAAAAAACTATATTTATTTTGAGTTTTAGATTGTTGTAAACTAACATTTAAAAAAGTAAATCAAAATCAGGAAACGCCATATTTCCTTTCAACACCACAATTCATAGTTTTTATATTGTCTTTTATTTTCTAATACTTAATTTGTCCTTAATTTTACAGTACCTAATAGAATAATACATATATACACTCGAACAATCATTTATTTACACAACACAATAAATCACGTAAAACGACGCCAATGCTCAACGCGCGGGATAACAAACGACAAACAGGTTCATAAAATGGCTAAAATGCTTTTGTAACTACGCCACTTTGTTCCCATACCAAAAGTGGGGGGTGCGTGCACCGATCTGCGCGAATACCCCCACCACGCCAACTTATAATTCTGGTTGTTTTATCTTCTGTGGTATGGTACATATCTACCCAATATTCTCCACAGTCGAAGGGTTCTTTCGCTCGGTTACGTCCATCTCCTATTAAAGTACATTAATAGATTTAAGAGAATGACTACCTGCGTCGGGTTCAATTACTATCCATCATAAAATTCAGTTATAAAGGTAATTTAGGAATAAAATATTTGTGACGGAATGTGAACCAGGATTATAGCTTTAATACAATGCAATGATTCCACCATATCACTGAAATATGCTATCCCATAGAACATACATGGCGATCCGTTAACGCTACAGAGCGACTGTATATAGGAATCTAGACCTGCCACGATTATGGGGTAAAAAATCTACTAACAAATACGGCCAAAAGAAATTGATTAAAATATTTTCAAGTTGGTAACTTCACCGCTAGAGGGCGCAACTGCTATAATGTTACACAAAAATTCTCGTTTTTTCGAAATTTTGCTTATATAACCTAAGTTGAAAACACTTTTTAGATACACTGTTAAATCCTTCACAAGTTTTGTTTGAACCTTTTTTTTTTTGTTATTACCATAGCAACGCCAATAGGAAGGACGCTATCTTGAAATTTTTAAATTGTCATAACTTCTAAATACATTAATCGATTTCAATAAATGACGGCTCATTTTAATGAACTATTAATAAAATTTATGTTATAATATGGGAATATGGGAATAAATAATATGGGAATAATTTTCCTGCGCAACGGTAGACGACGCTAATTAGAAAAATGTTTAAATTGTCTCCGTTTACTAAAAAAATTAAATGCAACGATATAGGTTGATAGACCATTTATTAAGGAAAACAAATACACAAACCGGAGGTCGATATCTTCTTTCGTTTTCAAGTTATTTCTAAAATAGTGAAGTTGTGCGAAAACATCCATCCTCCTTTATTTAGTTCTCTAAATAACATTGACACAGTCCAAGCCAAAATTAAATTGTCAAAGTATACAAAAATAGTACTTGCTATATTTTGAAATTTTTTTGATAACTGCAATGTATCATTTTTTATTAAGTAATTCCAAATATCTGAGTATTTGTAAAGATTACAGTTTTCACAACGAGGCAGGCTATGTCCTATGAAAATAGACAAATGAAAAATTATGTCAAACGATATGCGACAGCTCTTGCTTCGTGCAAAATTAGTGTCATTTGTGAGAGAAAAGTACTTGTGTTCTATATGAAATTCCCAGGTCTATAACTAATTCCCTAACACTTATTTGGGGATTTATATGGACACAAGCCAACACATTAATAATATCTTCCGTTCTTGCACGGCGATGTCTTCTTACAGAATGTAGTGGCTTCTGGCTAAACGCTGAAATACTTCTCTGGAATAGCGTATTCTACGAGGGTATCGCAAAGCGTATTTCTCTTGAAGCTATAACGGCATTTTCCAAACATTTAATATAAACTACCAACATATCATATGCTTCCACATTCGTAACAGGTATTTTCCTTGTTCACAAGTACATTTCCAACACAAATAACACTAATTTTGCACGTAGTAAGATCTGTCGTCTCTCGTTTGGCATAATTTTTCAATTGTCTATATTCATAGCCTGCCTTGTTATGGAAACAATAATATTTATAAATACTCAGATATTTGGAATTAATAAAAAAATGAAAAATTGTACCTACATATTAAAAAAATTTCAAAATAAAGCAAGCACTTTTTCAAGGTCAAGCTTGGTATAGTTTTACAATTTAATTTGGCTTGGACTATGTCAATGTTATTTAGAGAACTATATAAAGAAGGACGTTCTAGCACAACTTCACTATTTTAGCAATAGCTTGAAAATGAAAAATATATCGATCTCCGGTTTGTGTATATGTTCTCCTTAATAAATGGTCTAACTAGCTATGAAAACAAAGCGTCGCATTTATTATTTTGTTACTAAACTGAGACAATTACAAAACTTTTCCAATTAGCCATGTTTACCGTTGCTTAGGAAAATATTTTTATTCCCATAAATTTAAATTTCATTAATAGTTCTTTAAAATGAGCCATCGTTTATTGAAATCGATGAAGGCATTTAGAGGTTATGACAATTTAATTATTACAAGATGGCGCCCTTCATACTGGCGTTGGTATAGTAATAACAAAAAAAAGATTAAACAAAACTTGTGAAGGGTTTAACAGTGTATCTAAAAGTGTATTTTCAACTTGGGTTATATAACCGAAATTTCGAAAAAAACGACAATTTTCAATAGCAGTTGCAGCCTCTAGCGGTGAAGTTACAAACTTGAAAATATTTTAAATCAATTTCTTTTGGCCGTATTTGTCAATAGATTTTCTACCCCATAATCATGGTACGTCTAGTTTCCTATGTACAGCCGCTCCGTACAGTTAATAGATCACCCTGTATATGGCAATTGGCGTTACATGTAGTAATATATCTAGAAAAATTATGATTCACGTGTTAACACTTTTGAATATTTATGTGCAACTGTTTCTTAAGTCAAACAGTAGCGGATGTGCTGGAAGATATGTCCACTAAGAACCTCGCAATATTTCTTAGAAAATTTAACGTTAATGACTTTTTTGGACTTTTGATAACGATAATCGTAGTTGTAACAAAAAAATCCTAAAGTATTTTCTCTCAAACGGATAGTTTTATAATTGTTATCGATTTATTCCATTTTAAAAAAATAAAAATTCGAAAATTGTTCGTTTACAAATAAAATATAAAACAGGGATTTTTTTCATTGTCTTACAGCTTAGAGTCAAATATATTTATCGAATTTCGGCAATACATACAATTAGTGATATGAAAATGCTAAAACCAAACCGTTTATAAAGTAAATCGATACGATATTTTTCAAAATGGCCATCCTCGAATATCTTCTATCACCATTTTCATATTTTCATTAATACAAAATCTGATTCTAAATAAGAAGATATATTTTTTAAATTTATTTCCAGTTTTTCTTTTTTATTTACATTTTCACATTCGTTAAAAAGCTGCAACAAAATGCGCGAATGCTGTCTAAAATGCAATTTAAAATTTGATGCGAATAATAATACAAATATTCGAAACACCCTAAAAGGAACACAAATTATCCTATATGATCTTGATGGCAACTATGATATTTAGGTTAAACATACTTTAATTCTAAGATGCTGTATTTTTTAATAACTACTTGTATTGTATTGTAACAAAAACATTGAATGAAATTTGGTAAGTGGCGTAACATTTTTTAATTTCTATAACGTCACTGAAACTACTTATCGGGGTGATTGTATGCTTACAGAGGGTCAACTACATTATGCCTTTTATTATCTCATTCATTGGTTTCGTAGTTAAAAACAAAAAATATTTCATTTAGTTTCAAAGTAAAACATCCTATCCAATTGTTATAATTTGAGTTCAAGTTTGTCTGATAGTATACAAATTTTAGTGTTTATTCCTTTTTAGTTTCCTTTGCTGTATACGTTAAATACAGACAAGTGAAGGATATATTGAACAGATATAATATGGACAACAAGAAACTTTTAAACAGAACAGCTATGCAAATAGGTTTAGGAGCAGCTTTTGGAATCAGTATTGTGGCAAATTTTCAGGAAACCAATTTGTTTTACATTCACTGGTGTGGCACAATTTTAGCTTTGGGACTTGGTGCTGTTTACCAGTGCATGCAGGTTAGTAATAAATAAATGTATAAAATAAATAAATTAATAATATTTAATGTATTACTTACATATGTTTTATAAGAATCAGATTTAAGCAAGAGTTTGTAACAATTCTATTTCAGACTGTCCTCTATAAAAATTTAATGAGAATACTTGGTCAAAGGAAAATTACATCGCTGAGGATGGTTTTATCTGTAATTTCTGTGGCAACATTTATGACACTTCTTATTTGTGCGGTGATTGCGTACCAACAGAAGAAAAATGGTAAGTTTAGATATACAGTGCGACTCATGAAGTACCAGGACAAACCTTCAAACTGTTTTTTAAATGCACGATTTGAATGGATTTTCTCTTATACAGGGTGTCCCAAAATCTCTCGGATTTTGCAGGGGACATTAAAATAACATGACGAGTCCGTATAAAAATTTTCCCTAGAGATTCAGGTCCCTAAATGACGTCCCTGGTTGGTTTGCTAGGGACGGACCAGTTGTAGCACAATAATGTCAAATTTTTACACCATTTATGATTAAGGCACAAAAATAATATTTTCAGATAACTTGAACTTGAAACTAAAAAAAGGACTGATAACGATAAAATGAACTTTTTCGAGAAAAAACTAGTTTTGTTTAATATAATTTTTATTACATCCGTAAAGAGAAATAAACCGATACAATTGGCATTCTTTGTGTGCCTATCTAAAAAATGCCACTTTTAAAATTAAAAAAAAAAATGATTTTCAGGGCCGTCCTTTAGGGACCTGTATCTCCGTTGGGGAGGGCTCTAAGGAAATTTTTTATAGGAACTTGTCATGTTATTTTAACGTCTTTTGTATAAATCCGAGAGATTGCCTACATATTTTGGTACACTTGTATATAGCGGGTTTGAGATGTATTGCTGAACCAACTATTATCCAGCTGGTAAATCATGGCTTGCTGCACTTTAGGGATTCTACGTATGGTTCTAAAAATTGTGAAAACTAATAATAATAACTAGCAGTGTTCATAATTACTAATTTTTCATCCTCACGCATTCCAAAAGCTTGCCAGATTTTTAAAATTAAACAGAAATCAAGAAAATTAAAATTTTAGGACTGCATAAAAAATAATTTGCATTGTAAACTGATGATTTCTGAGGTACTAATGTATTTTTAATTGATGTTGGTAGTGATTACGTAGATAGATTTTAGTGAAAATTAAAAATTGATTGAATAGTGGTTAATTTAGTGAGTAGGAGTCTGTCACATCATCACTCATACACACACAAAAAAATAAATAGAAGATATATATTAAATATATAAATATAGTATAAAATAAGGGATTTATTTCCTTAGGAAATTATGGACTAAGTAACTGCCGTCCATACTACTGTTAATAATTCAATTAAATTAAATTTTTACAGATATTAGAGATTATTTTACCATAAACTAATGATTTTTTTTTTATTAACAATAATTTATTTTAAATCTGCAGTAGAGTTACATTTTGTGTTCTGACAATTAGATGTTACTTTCCATTCCAGTTCTTTTACATACTTCAAAACTCAGTGATTTCCCAATTTCTCAACATTAAAAAAAATCGATGAACCCACTTTATCCACGTTATCTCGGGATATAGAAACACGTGTCGTTATTATTTAAGAGTTTATGAAAATTTATTCCTGATGAAGAGAATAGTGCATTTAGATCAGAGAAGTTAATTTTCGTAAACCCCTATTGTGTACACTTCTATTTAAAATAATGGTACAATAATAGAATTTTTGTAAGACGTGCTATCACGACACTACAGAATTATGTGTCCTGAGCCTAATTTTTGAATAATATAACATTTATATAAATATTTCTGAAAATTTTTAATTTCGAAGTTGGGTTAGTGATTCACGCAGAGATAAAAATTCACTGATACAATTGATATATTGGCAGATAATAGTAGAAAGCCTAGCTAGAAGTTCTCCAAAAATGAGTATAATAAAAATGCACTCAGTGCATTTAATTCTTAATTGCAGCTCCAGGAAAAAGATCTCTTCTATCATATTCAAAACGAGTCGCATTCAAATTATTATTATTTTTAAATCTGAAATACATCCTCTTATCACTCAGTTGAATATATTGAAAATAACTCTTAAGGTGTTCGTTTTATAAAAAAAAGTTGGGAGAAATTTTTTCTAGAAATACAGTTTTATTTACATTATTATCAAAAATATCTATCTGTTTCAGAAGTGATAACGCCCTACTACTCCCCAGAGAATTCAAAATTTCTACAGCAATGACATTTTAGAATTTTTGATAATCGAATGAATTTAAAACTCTATTTCTAATAAAAAAAAAACATGTAGATGTTTTTTTATTACGAATAATTTTATAATTAATGTAAATTGAATTAAAAAAATAATAACTTGAAAGGGGCTCGTTTTTCAAATAACTTCGAGAAGATAATTTTTGTTTTTAGAAATACAATTAGAAGCTAAACATACATTCGATATCTGAAATAAGTACCGTCGAAATTATACCTCACATTACTAGTGAATAGTACTTCCATGAATTTTTACTTAGTAACGTCACTATCTAAAATTTGAGATTGAATTTGAGTAAAACATTTTCTGAGATATTTGCGTAAATGAGAAATTTCTCTAAAATTTAACCTATATCTCAAAAACACGCCGGTTAGGACATACGTTTACGAACTTCTCTTCTTGAAATGATTTAATGAGTTAAATTGCTGTTCATTTAAGCTACATCCTATATAGGGTGGTTTTAAATGAAGTAGCAAAAATGGTACCAGTGAATGTAGAGCCAAAAATAAGAGGATTGAAGGAAAAATACCTTACATGAAAGTTGCACCCCTGAGGCGATATAACCTCTTAAAGAGGGTATTGAAATTCACATTTTAATGTTTTTCTTTAACATGAGGAATGCTAGAGACACGAAACTTGGTAAGAGCATCCCACTAATAAAGAGACAACTTTTTTTCGATCATTGGCGTATTTTATAAAGGTGTGAAACAATTAACCCCATTGCAATATTTTATTAGAAATTTTTTATATGAAGCAAATGAATTATTTAAAAATATTTATTGGGAAGACTGATTTATTGCGCAACTTTTTTACCTCTCGTAATTTTTCGATAAAACCGATAGTTTTCTAGTAAAAAAATTAGACGGGTAATTGCGAAAATTTGTAAAAATAAAGTAGGCGGATGTCATAACAAATAAATTGTTACTTATCATATTAATAAATTGATACTTTCTGTCAATAAGCTGGTAATTTAATAATAACATTAAGAATAATTTGCTATTAATTAATGAAAAATGTTTGATAACTATGACTATGGGACATGTATTAGGTAAAGTTATTTATCTGAAATAAAATTTGATACAAACGAAAAACAAGAAATGCAAAATTAACTTTAAAGAATATTCTCGAAATTATTTCCATTTTGCAGCAAACATAAACTAATACGTCCGTTGAAGTTATAACACACTCGCACACATAGTTCTTGGTTATTGCGAAGGTCATCTGCTGCCTGAAATATTCTTAAGCGTAGTTCTTCTAAGGAGGCAACATGAGTGGCATAAACAATACTTTTTGTGTCCCTACAAAAAGAAATCCATAGGCGTTAGGTCAGGTTAACGTGCAGGCCAATAAACAGTGGCATCACGACCACGACCAATTCAGCAATTCGTTTAATTTAAATTTAACCATTCTCTAACGACAAGCGTACTATGTGCAGGCGTCCCATCGTGCATATACCACATCCTCAAGTAATGTTGGAAGATTTTCGTTCAAAACTCTAAGATATTCGGCCGCTCCAAGCCTGTGTGGAAGAATAAAAGGACCTACTAGAGTATTTCCTACAATTCCCATCCAAACGTTTAAACTGAAATTATCTTGACATCTTGAAGCAAATATTTCATGAGTATTTTCTTCCGACCATGTATGAACATTATGAAGGTACTGCATCTACTCTAGGAAGATTTGCTTAATCGGTATTTATTAGGAAATTTAAGTCATGCCTGGAAATATTAATGTACCTACCATTGACAAAAATCCACGCGGTTGGGTAAATCAGAGTCATTCAATTCTTACACGGATTGATGGTGAAAAGGGTATAAAAGATTTTCATGAGCTACATTCCACACAAGACTGAGAGAAACTTGCATTTGCCTGGACACAGTTATTGTACTTGTACCTCAGACCTGTTCTAGATGTTCCAGTATAACTTCCTCAGTTTCAACAGTTCGAACATTACGCCTTCTTCCGGCACCCTCACGACTGGGCTATGTTTGTCTATGAGGAATCGGTCGGTTTGGATATCTTTGGTGGTATAATCTTACTGCAGCGTTACTATTTTTTCTGGATTCGAAAAACACTTGGAGCATGTCGACATATTGGTCATTGGTATAAATATTATTTGCCATAATTATTCTGATAATAAATTAATGAATTGGTACTAATTATTGGTTGACAGAAAGTGTTAATTTATTAATATGATAAATAACAATTTATTTGTTATGATGACATCCGCCTACTTTATTTTTACAAATTTTCGCAATTACCCCTTTAGTGAACGATGACGCATCTATTTTTTTACTAGAAAGCTATACGGTTTTATCGATAAATTACAAGAGGTAAAACAGTTGCGCAATAAATCAGTCTTTCCAATAAATGTTTTTAAATAAATAATTGCTTCATATAAAAAATTTCTAATAAAATATTGCAATGGGGTTGACTGTTTGACTCCTTTATAAAATACGCCAATGGTCGAAAAAATATTGAAAAGTTGTCTCTTTATTAGTAGGATGCTCATACCAAGTTTCGTGTGTCTAGCATTCCTCATGTTAAAGAAAAAAAATTAAAATGTGAATTTCAAGCCCCTCCTTTAAGAGGGTATATCGCCTCAGGGGTGCAACTTTCATATAAGGTATTTTTCCTTCAATCCTCTTATTTTTGGCTCTACATTCACTGGTACCATTTTTGCTACCTCATTTAAAAGCACCCTGTGTATTACATTATCTGTTAGACACAGGTTGTAGAAGTGCTCAAATGCTGTCTGTACGTAAAAGAGTTTTTACCAAACATTTTAGTCCGATAGCATTTTTCTGACACTGAATTACTTTTATGTTTATCATTCCAGATTTTAACGAAAGGAATGTACTTTTTAGAAAATTACTTACACTGGCCTGAAGGAGACGGCGGTTTCGTTTTCCACAACGTCAGCGTGATGTTTGCGTGGATTTGTACCGCCTCAACTACGCTGTACGTGACATTATTCTACTGGGAATTTAAGAAAATAACTTTATACGAACCCGACGTGTTTGTTAAAGATAAAATCACTATCGACCTAAATATGGCAAGGACCAATGAGGGCTTCCAAGATGCTTGAGATGGTGTGCGATGCAAAAAATAAAATTGTTTTCCCTAATTTTTTTTGTAGCTCGTTATACTTCGATGTTTTTTAAATCAGATTTTTTATGCCAGTAATAGATTAATATTATTTGTAAATAAATAAATAAATAAATATGTTAGTGTTAAATCGTTTTATGATTATTGAACCAGAGTATGAAAGATAGAATTATATATAACAAAGAAATGAGCTTATCGGTACAATTTTTAGTTAGAAAAATCAAAATATGTGAAAATGAGAACATATTGTGCAAATCTGTTGTTAATATTACGCAATTTTAACAAAGTTGTATACAAATAGATACCAACGAGCAGTTTGAATTCTGCTGTTAGACAACAATCACTTACTTATTTGTAATCAAAAATTGATTTTAGTTACTATTATGTGTATACCGTGAGTACCAATATGACGCACGCAGTTTATCAAGCTAACTCAAAAGTTAATCAAAGTTATTATTATTACATAATAGCAAGGACAGAGGCAAAGCCTATTTAGTCCAATAAAATGTACAAAATGACAGTTAACAGCTTTGAAAGTAACAGTAAAATAAATAGCTAACATAAAAGAAAAAGAACAAATAAGTATGTGAAGAGAATACTAAAATAACAATGCAGATCACAGTTAACTAGCGGAACAGGCTAGTTCCGCTAGTTAACCGCACACGAAAATATACTCACTGTAGAAATTCTGATGACATCCATGCATTCAACCTGTTCTTGAAGGAGTTGACCGATGGGGCAGTGACAACAGATGAAGGTAGACTATTCCAAAGGTAGAACACTCTATTTGGGAAGAAATTTTGCCGCAAAGACGTTTTGAAGTTTTCTCTCGACAATTTAAACTGATGACCACGTAAACGCTCATCCAAATTTAACCTAAATAAGTCTCCAAAAGTTATTCTGTAATGATTAATTAGAATCTTGTACATTTGGATAAGATCACCACGTAGACGTCTCACATTAGTACAAGTAATTTTCAAATTATCCAAACGGTGATGATATGGAAGTGATCTAAATTTGGGGATCCATTTTGTGAATCTTCTCTGCACGCTTTCTATCAGATTAATATCTTTTACCAGGTAAGGGGACCATATGTTCACGCAGTATTCCAGATGCGGACGAATATATGATTTACATAATGTTAAGAAGACCTGATCGTTTGAGTTCTGGAAACACTTATTTAAAAGATAAGACACGGAGTTGGCTTTTTTCACAAGGGTGGAAATATGTTCAGACCAAGTGAGACTGGAATTGATTACTGCACCCAAATCATTCTGACTTTCGACAGTTGTTATAAGTTGGCCTTGACCGAAAGTATATGTTGACTTGGGATTATTTTTACCATGTATAACAGTACAGTTATTTAAATTCAGAGGGATGAGCCAATCATAGCACCAGTGCTCGATGGAATTAATATCATCTTGTAGAGTCTGATGATCTTGCAGTGCATTTCCAAATATCCTAGTATCATCGGTATACAGTGCATGCTGCGAACTGAGCTTTAGCGAGAGGTCAGCTGTATATACCAAAAATAGGACTGGTCCCAGAAAGAACTACTTGAGATTCAGAATGCGACTTGCCAACTCGTACTGAAAACGTTCGATTTGTGAGGAAACTATCTATCCAGGCAAGTAATGGGCCCCTTATACCATTACCATAAACCATTACCATAACGTTATGTAAGATTTATTTGGCTAACAAATAGTTGAGGCATTACTCAACGAATATTATTATTATTTCCACAGCTTTAATAAAAAATCGAGCAAAAAATATTGTTCATTTTGAGTGAAAATTTACTCAATTTTGTTTATTGCGTAAAGTAATATACAGGGTGTCCCGGTACTTGATACAAAAAAATCGAGTACAAATATGTGAGATCAAAATAATATCAGTTCTTCACATAAATTTTTTTCATACGAGCCTTCGTTAACAAGTTACGGGTTAGTCTCTAAACTATTAACTTCAGCATGACACAAATTTGGTGATCGATAACACATGGGTGCAGCTTGTTTTTGATGTTGTAAGTAAAACTTGATTATGCCCAGAATGCCAGGGACGGACTATGCCTAATGGTTAACAACCCAAACTTTTTGCATAGATGACGATACCAATCTGCCTGTATTAAAAATAAGTTCCCTGAAGAATTTACCGACAATAATACCCTCTTGGTTCAACTCGTTAAAAATAACAATATAGGAAATATTTGTAATTTTTGGTCGAGCGGCGCCTCCACCATTTTTGTTTTTAATTTTTAATTGGACATAATTACTATATTAGAACCGTACGTAATTTTTAAACCTAGAAAATCTTACTGTCTGCTAATGCAATCAAAATTTGACAAACACACTTTACACAACACAAAATAGAAAAAAGAGGAATAATAAGGCTAAATTAAGTAAGTAAGTATTAAACTCCAAATATCGATATCCATTCAGACGTTTTTCAAAAAAGGTATAAACCTATTAAATTATTACCCACTATTACTGTTTGGGCAGGAATAGTGGGTAATAATGTAATAGGTTCATACGTTTTTGAGGAACGTCTGAATGGACATCGATATTTGGAGTTTTTGCAAAATAATTTGCAGCCACTATTAGACGATGTTCCATTAGACACAAGAAACGTTTGGTTCATGTACTATGGGGCTCCTCCCCATTTCAATCTTGATGGGAGAGAAGGCCCAATTTCATGGCCGCGACGTTCTCCAGACTTTAACCCGTTGGACTTCTTCCTGTGCGGATACCTGAAAAATTTAGTGTACTCAACCCCAGTATAGACAGGTGATGAATTGCTGCAAAGAATTTCCATTGTGATAATATTAGACACCCCAGAAATGCTTTTTCGTGTATAAATAAATATCATTTCTGTGGCAAAAAGGCAAACAGATATAAGTAAAACGTGCCTGTTTTAGAGAAATAACAAAAAACTGTTTTGTAAAGTAACCGTAAATAATAAATATGATGTTACTAATTGCAACAAAAGAATTAAGGCCAATATAAAGAAAAATATAGTAATTAAGTGTTGCTAAAATAGCTAATTATGGAATATTTATATATTTTATTACTTATGTTTGAATTGTTTTTGTATAATTAAAACTGATAAAAGCCAGACCAAGATGAGTAAACATATACCTTTTTACAATTTCAATAATTTTTTGTTAATCATACGTTACAGCATTGACATAACGATATAAGTAGACATGAATATAGAACATTATATTCGTTATAGGTTGTACTTAGATTATTTCTGGGGGTAGGCTTATAATAAAATACATTAAAAACATAACAATTTTATTAAAAAAAACTTTATATAAGTAGATAAGCTAATACTCGTTATCTTCTCTCACTGTAGTCTGTCTAAATCGGGACCTGCTTCCAAATTTTCATAAAGTAGGGTTAAGTACACATATAACATAAATAAAGGAAATCTGTGAAAAGACAAAAGGGTATAAGTAGACATATACCCTTCTGATATTACAAGATGAGTATTCCAACCTATTTATAACTGTTATAAGTGCACTTACATCTATTTGATATTAAGCAAAATAGATTTTTGTTCAGTTAATAGTAAATGTAAAGACATAATTCATTTAGAAATAGTGCTATAAAATAAAATTGGTTATATATAGACTTATATCTCTTTGGCATTTGGCAATATGGCAATAAAAATATTAAATGGGGAATAAGTAGACCTTTTTGCTTATTTGCCCCAGATTTGTAGACTTAGGAAGTGTCTGGAGGTGGAAGGTTCCCATATTGAAAATGTATTTTGATAGTTTTCTTTCTATTAAATTATTTTTTTAACTTACTTTAACTTATTCTTGTTGTTTTTTCCTATTTTGTGTTATGTGTAAAGTGTGTTTGTCATATTGTTAGTGAAAATTACATTAGTACAGAGTATGATTTTCTAGGCTCTTATTTTAAAAATATGTATGATAGTAATTATGTGCAATTAAAAATGAAAAATAAAAAATGGTGGAGGCGCCGCTCTATATGCACTGTGCCATAAAATTATATGAAGAACTGTTATTATTTTGTTCTCGTTTATTTGTACTCGACGTTTTTGTTTCAAGTACCGGGGGACACCCTGTTTAAACCAGCACACGTTAAAATATAGTATCGCCATATATTTTCACGATAGACAGCATCAACAATGCATACACATTTTTCCAAAATTGATTAATAAGCTACGCCCCTTTAAGTTTATTGTCCTGCACTTTTTTTTATGTAATTATTTATTTTTGGTTTTTTTCAAAAATCAATATATTGTTACTTGTTGAATACCGTCTTTGAGTTATACCCTCGGTGCAACCAAGGGTGGATCGTAATAACAATATACACTTATTTTACTTTAAAATAACTAGTGTTTATTAAGTGATTTAACATGCACGATAAAAGTTTCTCGTAACGTTGCGGATAATGTTAAATAATAAATAAATAAACCTAGATAGCTGGTTTGAAGACTTAATAAACGTTGTATCTAACATTTGAAATATTTGATTGACGTAAAAAATTGTATTTTCAATAAAAGTTGTGAGGTCGCTCGATGCTCTATACCATTAATAGAAATAAGTTCACTTAGAACGTGATCAAAGCGGTGTCTAGCAAATACAATCTTTGAAAATGGAAATTAGTGTTAAATATTTGCCGTTCGCTATTGTAGCTTTATTAAGTGTTACTCTTTGTGTCACGTGAGTAAAATTTCAGTTTCATACAAAATAGTAGTGAAAGCCTATTTATCAACAATTTTTTTATTCAAAACTTTGATATAATATTTAAAACATGACATGGGTTTCTCAAAAAGAAAGAAGTACACGTGATAGAATGTTACAAATTAGATTTTAATGAAAGCCTTTTTTCAGTTGTATTTCAGAAGTAATTAATTTCATTATAGAAAGCGTCTTTGTCAGATTGCATATTTCAGATTGCTGGATTTCAGAAAATATTAATCATATTTCCAAATCCATAAATTTGATTTCAGAAATTTGAATTAGATTGCAGAAGTTGTAAATTGTTTTTCATACAACATCTTTTATATTGCAAGAAATATAATATCCGATTCAGACTCATTTAGACCAATTTCATAATAAATTTAAAGTTCACATAAACTTCAAAGTCGGTTTTAACGATAGCAATCGGTTTTATACATGAAATTTAAAATTTTGAAGATGATTAAAGCAACTTTAACTCTAAAATCCGTGGATAGGCCTTTAACGATAAAAAAACTATTTTTGTTAAAAATTAATCTTTTGACTTTGTAATTTCAACTTGTGCTTGTCATACTGCTTGCTGGTTTTCTTGTCAAATGTACCTCTCTTTCAAGTTCTGTAGAGGAAAAGGTATCAAAAGTTATTAGATGTTAGCAGAAGAGTTGATATTTTGATTTATAGCTTTCGCGCCTACGAAGCCATGGTTTTATGTTTATTTGTAAAGAACTGAAAATGTCATCAATTTACTTACAGAAAGATTTCCTATCTTATTGTTAATACTTTTTAGTTTAAACAATATGGAAAATACAAATGAAAATGAATTTTCATCTTTGAGGCTTTTGTATCAGCTATTAACTTTTGTGCTTGTGTAACTGCTGTGGCTGATTTGAATGGTGCTTGAAAAGTTTCTGCATGCCGTATTACAAAAGTAATGTCAACAGCATTAGCTCTTTTAAAACAACAAAATCTACATTAAAATGTATGATGATAATAGAGAAAAATATAAAATCTGCAGAGCTTTAAATTCCTTAAAATCTGATGACAGCACACTTTTTTTCCTTATCCAAATAAGTAAAAAAATGAGTCAAAGAAGTTAAGGTACAAACTGACATATTTCTAGATTCAGTTCTGCTAACAATTATTTATTTACTGTAAAGGCAGACTTTAGCAAAAAAATATCTAAAGTTAATTATAAAATAGTATCAAATTATATGCTCACTTATACTGTGCATTAGCTTAAAGGAGGCTTTACCTAAAAGTAAAAAAATGTCAATTATGGAATTATTTTTTTTTTGTTTTATTGTTTATTATCAATTGACGCTAAAAAAATGGGATACAATTTTAATATTTGTTGATATCATTTTATTGTATAATTACCAGTAAATTTGTAAATAAATATATTGTTAAAGAACATCTGGTCAGCTTCTTGAAGACAATTGTTCAATAATCAATTTTAAGACCCTTTTTTGTGGACTTCATTCTTACAATATGAAGTGAATTGCTACTATAGCCACTTGGAGACATTAATATTAACCTCTTAAAACCTGAGTCACTTGAGTCTAATAGTCTAAATTATTTTATTCAACTATATCAGATTTTCATCTGGAGCAAATTGTTACCAAACCTACAAGAATTACAGAGACATCTGAATCCCTAATAGATGTTGTATGTGTTAGTCAAAACATATTTATTCAGAATTGGGACACGTGTGATTTACATAATAATACAGATCATTTGTTGGTATTTGTTACAATAAAAATTGATGGAAATAATTTTAAGCCTAGAACAATTTTGTACAGGAATTATAAAAATATTGATTTAAATAAATTTGTTTTTGATGCTAATCGAATACAATGGGAACTTATTGATAATATTGAGGATGTAAATATACGCACAGAATGTTTAAATCAGGCGATATTGTCACTTTTCAATGTGCATGGCCCTTTAAAAGTAATGAAAACAAAGCGTAACTAACAGCCATATATCACATACAATTAAAAAAAATGATTCAACTTAAAAATAAGTCACATAATAAATATTTGAAAACAAAAACAGCAGGCAATAGACAATATTATACAACTTTAAGAAATTATGTAAAGGAAGCAATAAATAGAGAAAAAAAATGCATATATGAAATATATCCTTCAGAATAATAAGTATAACTCTAAAATAATTTGGAAGAACTTGAGTAAATGGCGAGTCTGCACAAAATCGAAAGATGCACCGGAAGAGATAAATAATTATTTCCTGAATGTGGCTGGCGAATGTGATATTAATATGAATATGTTGCAATACTTTTCTCAAAATAATTTGGGTGATCAGATTTTTACTTTTCAATCAATAACAAATGAAGATATTATTAACAGTATAAAAAATATTAATAGTGAAGCATCCGGCATAGATGAAATAAATATAAAAATGATTAAAATTAGAATCCCTTATTGTGTTGATATCGTTAGATCCATTTTCAATAATACAACTACTAGTGGTATATTTTCAAATATTTGGAAGATTGTGGAGATAATACCTATACCTACCCAAAATTAGAAATCCTAGCGCGTATAACGATTTAAGGCCAATATCCATACTACCAACATTTTCAAAAGTTGAAAAAATTGTAGCCCTAACTGTTTAGAAAGAAATAAAATTTTACCACAGATGCAGTTGGGTTTTCGTAAAAATCATAATAATAATACCTCTCTCTTAAAAGTTATTGATGCAATAGTTACATCATTTGATAAGTCACTCTCAACGATATTAGTATTATTAGATCAAAGTAAGGCATTTGATTTAGTATCTTTTGACCTTTTGTTATCAAAGTTACTTTTTATAGGATTTTTCTGCCACAATATAACAAAGAGAAGTTACAAAAAATTCCTACGTACGATTTGTTTATGATGTTTCATGTATGAGTCATATAACTCCATACATAGGTAGATTGTCTGAACTAAAAATTTCTGGTAGAATAATGTATTTGTATCTTAAGTTTCTATACAAACTTATTAATGTTGAAACTCCCTCGTATCTATGCAGTTCTTTAAAAAACGCTCAAATATTCATAATGATAATATTAGAACAAATTACTTTAGTTTTAGTAAACAAATGTATAATAGTTAGATACCTGTTTATGTCTTATTTATTACTCTTTTTGGTAGAATGGAAGAGCGGTATATTTATTTATTTATGTAAGTTAATTCATAGTTACCTACATTCTGTCAAGTTTTTATTGCATTATTTGACAACTAATTTTATACATATGGCAGTGTTTCTCTAATTGACATTATATTCTCATTTAAATCACAATTCAGTCAATATCATTTCAGTGATGTGAACTATGATGTCAATTCTAAAAATGGGTATCAATATTAAATATTTTCCAATAATTATAGTTTTCTTAGCGACAGTTACTGTAACCGTCACGTAAGTAAAAGTTCTTCAATATTTTATTATTACGTTTACTTTTTTTGTTATGTATGCTTTACATATACAAATTTAACAGATTCTGAATGAAATTCACCACACATATGCCCCTAAAAAATCTGTTGAGGCATGAATATTTAAAGTATTTACTATTGAAGATAGTTCAAACTTGTATACTACAGTATAATTTCGGCATATTGATCATCTTCATGTAAAAATTTCATCTTCATGTAGTAATTGGACCAAAAATTAATCAGTGGTGTCGGAATTAGGAGGGATCTGGCATCAAAGTATTTAAGAATCCAACACCATGACAATGTTAGGCAGCGGATTACAAACAAATGTCATTGATTTCGTCTTAATCTTAATAAATACGTTAAGCAAGTTTTTATCGAAGTCATTGCATAAGAGAGGATTGAGAATTCAGTAGATTTGGCTGATGTGTGCACCAGATGGATCTTCTCCTTTAGGGATCAGTTTTAAGAACAAACTGAAAGAGCAACTATATGTTTAATATTATACATTTAAGCTTTGGAAAACGTCTACATTGAAGCATCCGAGAAGAAAGTCCTGGAGTCGGCAGCTCTAAAATTCAAGTATGTTCAGCCGAAACACTTAGAAGAGGAACTGTCAGATTTGCTCGTAGAGAATACCTAAGGACAAGCAAAAGGAAGAATATCTGGCAACGACTTATCTGTTCCGTATACAAGGATTTACCGAGAGATAGACCGCATTGCATCTTAAATAAACACCATCTATCTTCCGCTTCAAGACAAGCTGAAGAAACGATCTATTTGATGGAACCAACGAAAGAAGTCTTCAGACCAAACATGGGAAGGTTAATTCTATTTCCGAATCATTCAAATAGTTTTCCTAAAACTAACAGTAACTTAAATTTGAAGTCCCTGTTTTTGGTTTTTGAATATAATAAAAGTTATAACAAATAATTGAAAATAAACAAATTCTTGGTTCATTCACACTATCCTTTAAAGTTTTCTGTGTTCAAAAGAAACAAAAAACCAAGCACCTCTTTAAATTGATTCCTACAGGTTTTACGATCCCTTAAAAAAATGTCGAATTAAGAATTAATCAAGAAGGATATAGGTTTTGGTTTGAAATATTTTTGCTATAACAACTGTGATCAGATAAGTAAAATACATTTTTTTCCAGGTTTTAACTTTCCTTATCAACTTTTTACAGCTTTCCATTTTTTTTTTGTAAAATGTGTCCTTAAGAACAAGAATAAGAACAAATTTAAAAAACTGTGGCAATGTTAGTATAATGCACATCATAAAAGTGCCATAGATGAATGACAGTGATTTGCTGATACTTGTCTGCAACTTCAGGAACGTAATTTTTATGGACAGTCAATATTTTTTATTATTTCAGGTCATACTTGACAATTAGTCAAGGCCATGTAAGCGGTAGTGCTCCATACATAAGCGATACAGGAACGTTACCTCCAGAGAGCTGTATTTTTGGGCAAGCCCTGAACTTATTATGGGTTATGAGTAAGTCTAGATGAAAATATTTTTAAAACCAAATGAAAATGTTAGTTGTTCTTCTTGAACTTAATTAAAAAATCTGAATTTGGTAAAAATGGTTTAGGTCACTCTTAAATAGTTGAAAAAGTTATAGAGGATGTGTCAGAATAACATACCATAAATTCTAGGGTTAACAGAATCTTAAAAAAATATGTTTCAATGAATTTATTTGTCTGAATTATGAAAATTCTACGATACAGATAGCTAAGTTATTTATAAATTTCTGGTTTGGTTGAATCTAATTTTAATCACAAATACCGTTTTTCGTGTAAAAGGCTGTTTTAATTAGTTATCAGAATCATATTTTTTCTAATGTTCCATTGATTCAAAATTATGGGAATATTTTGAATGACTGCGCCAAGGCACTTTTATGTTAAAATTGTTTCTCACAAAAAACTGTAGCTTTTAAATCGGGTGTTCGAAGAGGTAAAAAATGCTGTCCGCCACGGCTTATCCAACTATTGGAACATGCTTTGTTCGTATTCTTACACTAAAACGGACAGGCTCTTTCATACATAATTTATGGTCGAGCTCTGATATTTATGATCGAGCTCATCAAGAAGTAGTACAAGTACTGCTTCGAGAAACTGAGTGTATTTCCATTCAATCTAGGTAAAAGGCACTGTGGATCAATCAAGAGGTTTCTAAGAATTCTAATCTATACATTCAGACAAAACTGTTGTTGATGATGAACTTCAACTAAGGCGTGTGGATATTCTTTTGCCTATATGTTATTATTATGGTAATAAATTATAAATCAGAATAGTACTCAATCTTTTCCAGAATCCACTCAGAAAATGCAAGACGTTGTTGAAGATCTCAAGATAAAAGAGCCGGCTTTCATATCATAAACGGGTATATTTTTGAAGGCTTGTAAACAAGGAGTAATGGCAAATTGGCTGAAGTTGTTGGTTTCTGTTACTGACCAAAAGTCTCCACAGTATTTGGTTCGAAAATCAATTCTTTCCTACTTATAGCGGTCTGAGTAATTTCTGCTTATGATGGCTGCAAAGTACTATGAGTAGAATATTGTAATAAAAAAGTAACTTTTGTGAAATGTTTATAGAAAAAATCGGATGACTTTGAAATGTTGCTAATTAAAATTTTTGACATTGTGGCAAATACCAAACTGGCCGCATTGGTCGTTGACAACAGTAGTTTGTAGATTGCATTCATATGTCTCTCACAGTCAGTTAAATGACATCCCTAAGTATCTATAAGTGAATTGGACAACGCAATAATCAATCTTATGAATAAAATAGATACTGTGGAGACTTTTGGTCAGTAACACAAAACCAACTTACAATTTCAGACAATTTGACCGATTCCACATTTACATAAAGACAGTGCGGGGTCCTTTCTACAAACAAGCACCTAAAGTACACTTAATAGTATTAAGAATTATTAACAATTACCAATTACCTGACAACAATTTACTAAATGATTTTCATTTAATATCCATATGTATATCAGAATTTGTACCACAACGTATTAATTTGTATATGAAATTTCATTTTTGTAACATTCTTCTATTTAAAGAAAAAAGTAAAAACAGAATTTTCTCTTGAAATGACATAAATCTGCAAGGAGGGGACGGAGAGTTTTTTTTATATAAAACATATTTCCTTAATTTCTAACAAAGAATCATCTAAATCTTTAATAAGGTTTAATATAAGAAAGACATTTATTGCTTAATATTCTGTTACTCCTAGAATTTATTGTACTTTATTCTTAAACAAAAATCTTTTGTATATTGTAATACACTCTTTATATTTCAGTTTCTTATGCAATGTATATTANAATGTATATGAAATTTCATTTTTGTAACTTCCTTCTATTTAAGGAAAAAAGTAAAACCTGAATTTTCTCTTGAAATGCCATAAATTTGCAAGGAGATGACGGAGTTTTCTTATATAAAAAATCTTTCCTTAATTTTTAACAAAGAATAATCTCAAGTTTTTTACACCTATTTATGTACCATACACCTTTAATAAAGTTTAATAAGGTTTAATATAAGAAAGATTTATTGGTTAATATTCTGTTACTCCTAGAATTTATTGTACTTTATTCTTAAACAAAAATCTTTTGTATATTGTAATACACTCTTTATATTTCAGTTTCTTATGCAATGTATATTAAATTTCGCCAAATTTCATACCTGCTAAATACATACAACATGGAACAATACGCAACAATGAACAAGAGTACATTTATCATTGGTTTACTAGCAGCTTTTGGCAGTAGCATCGTTGCAAATTTTCAAGAAACCAACATGTTCTTTATACACTGGGTTGGAGCTGTAATGGTCTTTGGATGTGGATCTGTATATCAGTGCATGCAGGTTTGTTTTGTTTTTCATTGGTCGAATAAACGTGTTAGGACTCAATTCCAATGCAAGCCAGCACATGTCGCTTTGGCGGAGTCTCGCACTGTACGCGAACGGAAGCAAATAAGTTCAAATCATCTTCAACTGCATTGGAAGGCATTCGAATGAATACAGCTACTTCTTAATCTTGGACCACGTGCTTTGACTTGCATTGAAATCTATATGCGGACTTAGATTTGTTGGTAAACATGTTGGGGTTATTAAAACTTGCAAAAATAGGTACGGTTACTATTTAAAAGAAAAGAATCATCTCTAAATAAAAGACGGATAATTGTTGTAAAACATTTACCCTTGCTTCTTATTCATAAAACGCACAATTTTCAAGAAAAACTGGTACTGTAACATTATTATTACCATTCGTTATAAATATCACCCCACTGTAACTTTTGGTATTTAACTTAGAAAAAAATGTTATACAGGAAAATTGTAGCTATAAACTATAAATATTTTATGTTGATTTAATTTTGTACTGTATGTTCTTAAAAAGAGTGATAAACAAAACTCGATTTTTGTATAGTCATATTTGAATAGGAGGCTTTTTTAAGGTTACAGCGATACTAGGTCTGATAGACTTACCTCTAATGGCAAGAAAGGTATATGTCACGACATAGAACACCATTATGGTATAAGGAGATCATGAACTTCAGATTTGAATCAGTGACTACTCAGGTCGATTTGAAATCTCGAAAACTGTTGTTCTAAGGGAGGTTCTTGATGTTAAGGGTCAAAACACGAACTAAATCCGGAAATTCTAACCTTAGATTCAAATTCAGCGGGTCAAGATATTATAGGATACACTGGTCTGGTCCACAGTGTTTTTTCAGTATAGATACAACGATAAAAGCCCCAGAATTATTAGACCAGGGTCGATAATTTTTGAAACCAAAAATTATAGTAGGATGAAACCCATTGGAAAAGAAAGAGAATATAACAGAAATGAAAGGAAAAATAATTTACGGGCGATCTGAAGTCGGGAAGGAGAAGGGTGAGTTTTTAAGGGTAAAAAGCGGTTTCCCTTGATTTCCAGAAAAACTACAAGTCTTATGGAAAAAAGTTAAATGACAAAGTTATAGGTAACAAAAAGATCTACAACTTTTGTAATTACACTTTCTTCACATAACCTCAAAATTTATGTGAAAAATTCAAATAACCAAGTTTTTGGTTTTTTATTTCATTTACAAAAAAAAATTTTTTTTCACAAAATTTGGTGAAAACTTAACTATTTATGTCCCATTTATGTAATTTTTTTGATTTGAAATATTTATTTTTTCACCTTATTTTTACTTAATATCGAAAAAGCACCCTAATTTTCAATCGAAAATTCTCACGTCAAAATATCTGCTTTTTTTAAAAACGTCGGTGGGCTTTTTTTTCTTCGTTGAAATCTCTACTTTCTGATGGTGTAAAAAAAAATATACGTTACTATGGTAAGTTTTCTCAGGAAATGCAAAGAAACGAAATAAACTAGAATCCGAAAATTTTGTTCTAATCATTATGTACAATTTTGAGCTATTTATTAAAATTTACACTTTAATTACTCGAAAAACGTAAGATTCCATGTTACATTGATAAACAAAAAAATTACAAGTCGAAATATACTATTATAATTAACAACCAAATAAGTTAATAAAGTTAATATTTAATAAGACATCTACAATATTTTGAGAAAGTTGTAGAATCTTCTTTCGTTTCTTTGCATTTCCTGAGAAAACTTACCATAGTAATGTATATTTTTTTTACACCATCAGAAAGTAGAGATTTCAACGAAGAAAAAGCCCACCGACGTTTTTAAAAAAGCAGATATTTTGACGTGAGAATTTTCGATTGAAAATTAGGGTGCTTTTTCGATATTAAGTAAAAATAAGGTGAAAAAATAAATATTTCAAATCAAAAAAATTACAGCGTGTTTGGGACATAAATAGGTAAGTTTTCACCAAATTTCGTGAAAAAAAAATTTTTTTGTAAAAGATAAAAATAAAAAACCAAAAACTTGGTTATTTGAATTTTTCACATAAATTTTGAGGTTATGTGAAAAAAGTGTAAATACAAAAGTTGTAGATCTTTTTATTACCTACAACTTTGCCATTTAACTTTTTTCCATAAGACTTGTAGTTTTTCCGGAAATCAAGATAAACCGTTTTTTACCCTTAAAAACTCACCCCCTTCCCCTTCCCGACCTCAGATCGCCCGTAAATTATTTTTCTTTTCATTTCTGTTATATTCTCTTCCTTTTCCAATGGGTTTCATCCTACTATAATTTTTTTTCACTTTTTACCATTTTTGAAGGCTTAAGCACTGGTCTATATTAGGTAGTGGGGAATTGGAAGCCTGTCAACTCAGAGTCATGTATGTTCAGACCCCTATGAGGTCTATGTTCCCATAGAGTAGTGGATTAGCTGTTCAGCTTCTTAGGAAGCATTCGGCCGAAGAATCGCAAATGTTCAATTGCCTTGCGCAGAGAAAGAGGAAGTAAGAAAGACCTCGATCGGGAGCTATGAGGTAAACTGGGATTTTAACTTTGTCTCTTATAGGTCCTTTTCTCCATCCTGGCGGTTCCGAAAATATGGAAAGTGGTCGCAAATTATCCCACGTTCAAGAGTTGGTATTTGGGCAGCTTGCACCTAGTAGCCGCATCGAATCGGTAATCCAGAGTGATCTGGATCAGCTGGTTCCTGAGACCCAGACGCGTGCGAGGAAGGCCTCCACAGTAGTTCATGTACAAAATTTATTGTCATTGTGTGGTACTTCTAGTTGATTGGTATAAGTTTAAGTTTATTTAATTTAAAACCAGAAAGGTAATGTGGGGTGACATTCATAACTAAAATGAAAATCAGTTCTTCTTGATATGAAACAAAAATATTTTTTACAGTTAACAAGTTGCAGTCTGCGGATTGTGAATATTGCATTTATTTCTGTCAGAAGAGCATCTTTTATTTAAAAATGATATAATGACATTTGCAAGCTCCAATTCAATTGTGCATTATGTAAAACAATTATTACAACATATAATAGCTTTCTAAGATATGACTATAACTGAGACATACATATTTATAAGAACATTCCTATTAATTTCACAGCTACACAAAAAAATCGACTTTCGGCCCCAGAGGTCAGACCATATACGATTGTTTGGGTCGCTGAATCCGAATCTGAGGTCGATTTAACCCCATCACCTCAGGATTTTTCATAACATCAAAAAAACGATATTCTGAACAATTAAATCATATAACCCTAAGACTCAAGCTTCCAACGTCTAAATCCAATTAACCAAATCCCATAAACATTTAACCTAATGATATCCCAACCTAATAAGCCCATGAATCCAAACCCCAATAACCCTATAACCCCATAACCCCATAACCAAGGGAATAAATCATAGGCAATCTGTATTAATGCAAAACATCACATAGCTGAGGACTTCTTGAAAATCCTAGTACTCAAACACAAAATGCATCCTTTACAGGATGTCCCGGCACTTGAAACAAAAAAGTCGAGTACACATAAATGAATCAAAATACTAATATCAGTTTTCCATATAAATTTTTTTCATACGTCTTCCTTAACAAGTTACGGGCCCTCAAAGGTGAAAATTAAAAAGTTATTTTTATTCTAAACTATTAACTGCAACATGATGCAAATGGTGATCGGTAACACATGCTTATAGCTTGTTTTTGATGTTGTAAGTGAAACTTCATTATGCCCAGAACGTCAGGGATGGTCTATGCCCAATGGTTAACAACCCAGAATTTTTGCATAGATGCTGATCGCAATCTGCCTGTATAAAAAATAAGTTCCCTAATGAATTATTTGTCAATCATAATGCCCTCTTGGTAAAATTAACAGTTTAGAAACTATTTATGATTTTATGCCACAGTGCAAATCGAGCGGTGCCTCCACCATTATTTGTTTTTAATTTTTATTTGCACTTAATTACTATGTTAGAAGCGTACATGTTTTTAAAATAAGTGTCTAGAAAATCTTACTGTCTGCTAATGTAATTGTCACTAACAAAATTTGACAAAAACACTGGACACATAACAAAATAGAAAAAAAAACAAGAATAAGTTAAACAAAGTTAAAAAATAATTTAAAAGAAAGAAAACTATCCAAATACATTTTCAATATGGGCACCTTCTACATTCACACACTTTGTAAGTCTACGAATATTATTTATTTGTACACGAAATCATTTCTGAGGTATGTCTAATATTATCACAACGGAAATTAATTCTTTGTAGCAATTCATCCCTTGTCTGCACTGGGGTTGCGTACACTAAACTTTCTAAGTATACCGACAGGAAGAAGTCCATCGGGTTAAAGTCTGGAAACGCGATGGACATGAAATTGGGCCTCCTCTTCCAATCTATTTATTATTAAACACAATGAATAAATAATTTCGTACATAAATATTGAAATGGGGACGAGCCCCATCATGCAACGCTTCTTCGGGTGTCTAATAAAACATCGTCTAATAGTGGCTGAAAATTATTTTGCAATAAAAAAAATCGATGTCCATTAAGACGTTCCTCAAAAGCGTATGGACCTATTAAATTATTACCCCAAAATTGCTTTTTCGAGTACAAACAAATAACATTCGTAGACTTAGGAAGTATGTGGGGTTGGAAGGTGCCCTTATTGAAAATGTATTTTAGTTTTCTTTCTTTTAAATTAATTTTTTAACTTCCTTTAACTTATTCTTGTTTCGTTTTTTTGTTTTTCTATTTTGTGTAATGTGTAAAGTGTGTTTGTCAAATTTAGTGGAATTATATTTGCAGACAGCAAGATTTTCTAGGCTCTTATTTTAAAAATATGTACAGTTCTAACATAGTAATTATGTTTAATTAAAAATTAAAAACAAAAAATGGTGGAGGCGCCGCTCGATGTGCACTGTGACATAAATTCTCAAATATTTCCCAAACTGTTAATTTTACCGAGGTGAACCAAGAGGGTATTATCGTTGGAAAATTCTTCAGGGAACTTATTTTTGATGTAGGCAGATTGCGATCGCCGTCTATGCAAACATTATGGTTTGTTAATTATTGGGCATAGTCCGTCCCTGGCGTTCTGGGCATAATGAAGTTTCACTTACAACATCAAAAACAAGCTGTGCGCGTATGTTATCGATCACCAAATTTGTATCATGCTGAAGTTAATTGTTTAGAGATTGTAAATAATCATAACTTTCTTAATTTTCACCTTTGAAGGCCCGTAACTTGTTAACGAAGGCCCGTGTGAAAAAAATGTATATGAAGAAGTCGGTCGATAGCCGCACGGTTTAAGGCGTCAGTCCTTTAATCGTGTGTAAATTTCTGCCCGGGTTCGATTCCCGCGGCCGGTAGACCGTAGATTAGCTATGCTTGTACGGAGAATTGGCACCCTCTGTGCAGGTATGGTAGGGCGGAAGAATGTTGGCCTGGGTCAATGTGAGAGATTGACACCGGTTGGCATTTGACCACCCCCCTAATTAATGAGGTTTTCCAGGTTTCCCTCATTCATGCACTGAATGGTGGTTAGGGCCTACCAACATAAGTCGTTCCTGGGCGCAAATGCGGCCTGCCTAATAATAATATGCCGCCTCCTCTCCCGCACAAGTCTCCGACTTATGGGCTAATTATTATTATTATTATTAAATTGATATTATTTTGACCTCATCTATTTGTACTCGACTTTTTGTATCAAGTACCGGGACACCCTGTATAATGATCTAGTAATTTCACATGTCCGGTCTTTTGATCTAGTCATTCTGGTAATATAATTTTTTAGGTTATCTATTGTTATCCTTTGGACTTTCATTTCATTTAATCTAGTCAGAGAGATTCTTAACATTAATTATTCATTTATTTATTTTAGTTTTATTGATTAATTTATAGTACGGTCAATCCTAAAAATTATTTTTTTTAAAGCTCTTGTGAGAGCTAGGATGATGTACGAAATCCGATCGCGTAACCACCTCGTGTTGTACAGCGGGTAATGCTAATGCCGACGGTCCTACCTATTAAAGTTATAAAAAGAACTAGATCGACTGTAACACTCGGTTCTTTGGTGAGTGGGATCCAAGTACAAGGTAATGAAGTTGTGGTTAGGGAATCGTGGGGTTATGAATTGTAGGGTTATGGGGGTTCTGGGGTTTGAGTTCATAGGTTTTTAAGAAATCCCCAACCGCGTTAACGTTTAGCCATAATACAGATTGCCTATGATTTATTAATTATGGTTATTATGGGGTTACGAAGTTACGGGGTTATGGGGTTATAGGGTTATGGAATTTTTTTGGACTTGAGTACTTGGGTTTTCAAGGAGACCTCAGCTTAGTGATATTTTGCAATAATACAGACTGCATATGATTTATTGCATTGGTTATAGGGTTATGGGGATGTGGGGTTATAGGGTTATTCGGGTTTAGGTTCATGGGTTTATTAGGTTGGGATATCATTGGGTTAAATGTTTATGGGATTTGGTTAATTGGATTTAACGGTGGAAGCTTGAGTTTTAAGGTTACCTATATGGTTTAATTGTTCAAAATATCGTTTTTTTTTTGAGGTTATGAAAAATCCTGAGGTGATGGGGTTAAATGGAACTCGGATTCAGCGACCCAAAAAACGTATAACAAATATGGTCTGGCCTCTGGGCCCGAAAGTCGATTTCTGTCGATTCATTGTAGAATCTAGTGAGAAAATTTAACTTATTCTTTGGCAGATATCCTATACACAAATTTTCAAGATTCCTCGCCCATATGGTTCAAATGAAAGTTTATCTTTATAACCCGTAGGTAGATATTTCTTAAAAATTCCAAATGCAATTGGTAGTAAAAAAATATTTGAATTTGAATTGTGGCACATAAATATTTATTATAATCAGTTACGAGTAATCAAGAGGTAGGTATTTGCTTTATTAATAATGTTTTTTTTTATTTTAGAGTATAATTTATATATATCTAACTGAAGTGCTGGGGCAAAAGAAAATAATAAAACTAAGAATAGCGCTATCTGTCATATCTGCTGCGAGTTTCTTGATGTTTTTTGTATGTGCAGTAATGTCTTTTTCTCAAAAGAAAATTAGTGGTAAGTAAACGAGCTTTTAGTTATTTTAACCATGGGTATATGTTACTAAAAATTTTGCCTTATGCGCAGTACCTCCCGTACAAAGAATGTCAGGCAAACATTTTTGTTCCCTATTTATGCGTCCTAAAGATACCACCGTGTAAAATTTCTACATGTTTAAAACACTTCACCAAACAGGTGACATGAGCTCTTGGACTATGAGCTGTTATTATCGTATAAGTCGCAGAATATGATAGCACCGAAAATGTCTCTTCGTAGGAATCAATTTAAAGGCTTTTGGTAAAAAAAACAGTAACATTATTTTAATCTGCTTTTTTTTAATATGCCATAGTACGATGTAATTGCCTAATTTTTTGTTCCACTTTGTTAATAAGTTATATTTTAGGTGGTTTTCTGCACTGGAAAAGAATGGATG